GTTTTTTTTAGGCGCACGTGCCATTAAGAGTGGCACTGCCATGGAGACAGAAGAGAGAAGGAACGAAGAGTTCGCCTGCTCCATTTCCCATGATATAAGAAAGACGACTGTAGCGCATGTCGTTTGTCTTCTCGCACACGAGTAAGGAACACGAGTGTCTACTCGCTACTGAATCAAGGCAGCTCAAATGGAAACTGCATAGTAAAGTCCTGAGTCACTAGATCTAATGCATTTCTAAAAAGGGAATGGGAGCCGGACTTCACACAACCTGCACTAATGTCTTGGGCATCATCTTGGATGATCCACTGCTCGCCGTGTCGATGCGGCGGTCCTTGAGTGCTGCAGTGAAGCTAAGCCCTGCGCTGCTCACAGGTCTGCGAACTCCAAATGCTCCGCCAGCATTAGAGACTCAGCGGTTTTGCAGCAAAGCAAATTATCTTAAGGTTTCGGCGCCGTGGATGCAAGGCCCGTTGTGCGATCAAAAGAAATGTGAAACAAATCCTTTGCACTTGCACTTTCTGACGTATGCGTGCTTCAGGGTGTAAGGTTTTGGGATCTAAAGTCCATCTGCGGCCCTTGAACATTCAGGCTTGTTGCTGCATCCGTTGACTCATCCAGGTTTCTTAGGCGTGTGCCAAGTTGCCATGCGCACTCATGTCTTCAAGCGAGCAAGCTGAACCATACCGTATGATTGAACCGTCCCGAAGCCACACCTAAACCCTAAAACCCAAATACCCCTGAACCCTGAACCTACAACAGAAACTCAGAACCGAAAATGTTTGCGTAATCCCTGCAGCTGACCCTCTGAGACCATGACCCCTCACGTCGCTCTGCGAAGAACGCCTTCCCTGCTTGCGACGATCAGGACTATGTATGCGGTTCAAGGGTGCAGTTTACTTACCTTTGGTTAGTAGGGAATGGAGGAATGGGGTACAATAATAACTATTATTACTTCCACTATTCCATCCCCTACTAACCAAAGGTAAGTTCAGTCGCAAGTCCCACCAGGTCATGGGGCCATGGGGCCTTCGAGGCTTCGAAGTTCCGTGCCCTTGGAAACTTAGAGTCTGTGGCTCCAGGGTATTTGGGGTTTAGTTCCTGACGGATTCGGACCAAAATTTTCGGGGTAGAGTTTCGGGCATTTGGGGCTGGGATTTCGGGCAGTACACGCGCAGGCCCAAGCTTGCAGCTTGCGGATGTTGTTGTTCAATGCCTGTCTGAAACTACAATGCTTTGTAGAGCCTTGATTGAAAAGCTTCGGCTTCAAACTTTCTGCAGCACTCTGAATACAGAACGGCGAGAAGAAAACTGCCGCCCGATAAATAGTACATCGCACACAGCTGGCAACCTTGGCAATGCGTTCTCGAATTTGCTCACATGCAGCTCAGCAGCATGAAGGCGCAAGTTCGGCCCAGGCTTCCATAGCTCAGCGCACATCGGCAAAAAGTGCGAATTGCGGCTGAGCATTGTTGACGAAATGCAGTTTTGCTGCCACCCATTGGTGCCCGCAGCAAACAGGATTGAGACGCACATGTAGCGACTAAGTGTTAAACTGACCTCGAGCCCTTTGATGCTGGCACAGGCGGCACACGTTGTTGTGATTGCTTGAAGGCGTCTAGCCGTTCCCGACCTTAGGTAAGGGTTGGGGTTTCAGGTCTGGGCTGAAGCTTTTGTAGATCTGGGTTTGGGATTCAGGGTGCAAAAAGTAGGTGGCAAAGAGTATCGGCAGCGATTTGCCTCTTTTTGGGACAGTCTTGTCCCACGCATCTCTTGGTGGAAAGGACACATGTCCCGAAACGGCGCTACATCTGCGACTATCGGAATCTCCAGATATTGATCTGGATACTGTACAAGCTCACGCTTGCCGTGGCAAAGAGCTGGCCTCTGTGTAAGCTTCACCGCAGTTGCTAGCTGTTAAAGCGATACCATGCATCACAACCTAGATTGATCGCTGAAGCGCTGAGGGTGGGCTTGGACAGCTATCACCACAATTGCGCTGCGTGCCAAGACCGTGGAGAGACATCTAAACCGCGTACTATACCGCAGACATCCAACGAGAAACCGGCTCAGGAAGAAGTAACTGCTCCGGAGATTTTGCGGATTTATTGCAGAGAGCGCACCTTACGCGGCACTGCAAAAGTCGGTCGAGGAAAAATCCAGCCGACAGGCCAGCAATACTGAAGACAGCTTCGACTTCCTGCAGCTACCGTAACTTACTAAAGGGTACTGAGAGCAGCTGTTACGACCCCACCACTCTCGGACAGGTTCTGTCGATGAGCTCACCCCTGTGGCTGGTGCACCGCCAAGTTTCGGTTTCCAAGGCTTCTGCGACTGAGTTTCCGACTTCCGCTGACAAAGCCCTGCCGGCATCGTGGTAGATAGCCTCGCATTGGAGGGGCCGTGTTGCTCACTGAAGCCCGGGGGATGCATCTTTTTTAGTCTACGGGCTTGCGATACGGCACTTCGGATCTACCACCAGCGAGCTGCCGCACTGAAGAGCCTCTTACACGCCGTGCTAGCACTCTTCTCTTTGTGGCCCTGTTTATTTTCCAGGGCGTTTTTCATTGCAGCATCGTGCCAGCCCTGAACAGCCCTGAACCAGAAATGCTGAGCTGTGTTGCCACAGTCAGCTCCAGAAACGCATACAGCTCGCTTAAGCCTGTGCAAATCCTGACCCACCCGCGTGCAGTTTGGATTGGGGAGCCGTGTTCTGCACCCATCGAGGATGTAGACTTAGAGCCCAAACACAAGCCCCCAAAAACCTCTAGCCATCCCAAAAGAGCCGATCGGCACTTAAGACCACCAAAACCACCGCGAACGATGCACGACAGCAAGAAACGACTAAAATCGACAGGTATAGCTAGTATCGAAACAGATGTATTGACAGCGATGCTACTGGTTGAGGCCTCGCAGATGGGGGTGAGCTCAATGCTGCGGCGGAAGGGATCCTGGCTCAGGGACTGCGATAAGTAATGTCTCAGAGGTGCTGACACGGATTTACCTTGCTGCAGAACGGAGGATGAATGAAGGGGCCCAGAGACACCCGGCCAGATGGTTCTTTCTTGGGTACTCACGAAAGCTAGCGTAGCTACTCTCAACCCCGGGCCGCGCGCAAACCATGCGGAAACCTGGCTGTTTCAGGCCAACCCCCCCCCCCCGCCCCTTCCCCCTTCCTGACTATCTCCCCTCCCCCACTTCTTTCCTGACTCTCTTAAAAGAACCCTCCCATCTCCCCCACGCAAGCACGAAACACCGACACAACCGATGTGCACTTCGAGTGCAGGGAGACCCGCCAAAACCGATGCAAACGGCATGTCGGTTTTGCGCGTCTACGCGAAATGAGAGAGGGAGAGAGACAGACGGACAGAGACAGAGAGAGTGGGAGAGAGAGGGGGAGAGAGAGGGAGAGGGAGGGAGAGAGCGAGAGGGAGAGAGCGAGAGGGAGAGGGAGAGAGAGAGAGAGAGAGAGACAGAGGAAGGAGGAAGAAAGAGAGAGAGAGAGAGAGAGAGCGAGAGAGAGAGAGGAAAAGAGAGGGGAGAGAGAGAGAGAGAGAGAGAGAGAGTGAGAGAGAGAGAGAGAGGAAAGAGAGCGAGAGAGAGAGAGAGAGAGAGAGAGAGAGAGAGAGAGAGAGGAAAGAGAGCGAGAGAGGAAGAGGGAGGGAGGAAGACAGAGGGAGGAAGAGAGAGGGAGGAAGGGACAGGGAGCAAGGGAGAGGGAGGAACGGAGAGGGAGGGAGCGAGAGGGAGGGGGAGAGGGGGAGAGGGGGAGAGGGGGAGAAGGGGGAGAAGGGGGAGAAGGGGGAGAAGGGGGAGGGGTTGGAGGGTTTGGAGAGGGGTTGGAGAGGGGGAGAGAGGGGGAGAGGGGTAGAGAGGGGCAGAGGGGAGGAGGAAGGGAGGGAGGGAGGGGACAAAAGAGAAGAAGAGAAAAGAGAGAGCGAGAGAGAGAGAGAGAGAGAGGGAGAGAAAGCGGGAGAGAGAGAGAGGAGAGGAGAGGAGAGGAGAGGAGAGAGGAGAGGAGAGAGGAGAGGAGAGAGGAGAGGAGAGAGGAGAGGAGAGAGGGAGAGGAGAGAGGAGAGAGGAGAGAGGAGAGGAGAGGAGGAGAGGAGGAGAGAGGAGAGAGGAGAGGAGAGAGGGAGGGAGAGAGGAGAGGGAGAGAGGAGAGGAGAGAGGAGAGGGAGGAGGAGAGGAGAGAGGAGAGGAGAGAGGAGAGGAGGAGGAGAGGGAGAGGAGAGAGGAGAGAGGAGAGAGGAGAGAGGAGAGAGGAGAGAGGAGAGAGAGGAGGAGAGGGGAGCGAGAGAGAGAGGAGAGAGGGAGAGAGGAGAGAGGAGAGAGGAGAGAGGAGAGAGGAGAGAAGAGAGAGGAGAGAGGAGAGAGGAGAGAAGAGAGAGGAGAGAGGAGAGAGGAGAGAGGAGAGAGCGGAGAGAGGAGAGAGGAGAGAGGAGAGGGGAGAGGAGAGAGGAGAGGAGAGAGGAGAGAGGAGAGGAGACAGGAGAGGAGAGGAGAGGAGAGGAGAGGGGAGGAGAGACAGGAGAGGAAAGGAGAGGAGAGAGGAGAGAGGAGAGAGGAGAGAAAAAGAAGAGAGAAAAGAGGGGGAGAAAAGGGAGCAGCAGAGAGAGAGAAGAAAGAGAAAGGAGACAATAAGAGAGAAGAGAGAAGAGAAGAGAAGAGCAGAGGAGGGGAGAGGAGAGGAGAGAGGAGAGAGGAGAGAGGAGAGGAGAGAGGAGAGGGGGAGAGAGGAGAGAAGAGAGAAGAAAGAAGAGAGAAGAGAAGATAAGAGAAGAGACGAGACGAGAGAGAAGAGAGGGGAGAGGAGAGAGAGGAGAAAGAAGAGTGAAGGCAAGAGAAAGAGGATACTGTCAGATAGAGAAGATAACAGAGAGGAAAGAGAAAGCAAGAGCGAGAGAGAGAGAGAGAGAGAGAGAGAGAGAGGGAGAGTCGACTACTATACAGACTCCACAAGCCCCGCCGCAAACCGAATAGACTTCCTAGATCCCGCAAACCTAGCAACTACAGACTCGAAGCCCGCGTAGATTTAGACTTGATAGATCCCACCGCAACTTCTCGCAGATACTGCAAACTACTACATCAGACATCCCGGCTCTTCCCCTCTCGACCCCCAAGATCCCATCCGCCCGATCTCTGCCTATAAACGAAACGCGAAAGCTTTGCGACCCATTCCTGAAACCTCGTCGGCAACAATGACAACAACCGCACGGGACTGCCAAGCCCAGCTTAGCTTTCAATCCCCCGGTCCTGCCCCCCAAGTCCCAGGCCCTGGAACCCAGCGCCTCGATGAGGTTTCCAATTTCCAGGATGCCAAAGAGCGCCCAGGTCACGAAGGCCACCTTAGCCCAGGAGTTGCTGAAGATTTCCCCATCTCCCCTACTCTTCACTCCCGGAAGCGAGAACACCCTTGCCAATGCCTCAGCCTCGACTCGAGACCCTAAACGATTAGCTTTGAACTTAGCCTCCGACACACGGTCCCGTGAGCCACCGGTAGCTGCTGACGAGAGCGAAGGGCAAAGTTAACCTTGGCTTCGTATTCCAAGTTTGCCTCATGTTAGGGTCTCGAGTGAGTATCGCCAGCCCTGAGCCGACGGCGTCCAAACGGAAACGAAGCGCGCAGTATGGCGCCTGGTAGGGCGGTAGCCCAGCAACGTGTGTATGATAGCTCAACCCGTCGTGTTATCTTTGGAACTTAGAACTTACCTGGTAGCTCAGGCCCAAGTCCCAAGCGCATAGGAGAGTGGAACAGGAGTCTGGACAAGCCGTTCGCACCTTAGACTGCAGAGTCTGTCTTGGAATCCGTTTGTGAAAAGCATGGGTGGTGGCTCAGACTGCTATCGCAGGCTGCAAACTTAGCTGGGTCGACTGGGAATATTCTCGTCGCACGAAACCCCAATCCGAGCCTGGTGGTGTGGCAAAATTCCTTCCAAATCTCATTCACACCACACCGTTAGACATACGAATGTCAAGCATCTAGCCTGCCCGGCTCTTTTTGTCGGACATGTCGAGGCTCGTGCCGGCCAACTGTGTGGGACAGCGCCGTCACCATTGACCTGGGTGAAAGGTGGAGGAAACCGTTTCATGAACACCTTTCGTCCAGAGAGCCCCAGCTTGTCGTCAGCTGCAGAACAACTGCGCTTGTCAAGACAGATCACGCCACGTCAACTGCCGAGTCTGAGATCGAACTTCCCTCGGATTCGGCAACGCTCTCCGAGGCAACGGCAGCAACCATACCCGCTCGCGATTGGTGAAAGTTCCCTGCATTTCGTGGGCCAAGCCTAGATGCCGGCCCGTAGCCGCATACGACGCTGCAGCCGACACTTCTTTCGAAAGATCAGCAAACCCGTGTCAGTGATGTCGGATTGGCCTCACAGTCGGGGATGGAGTTCACGACCTAAGTGTGTCGCTGGCTTTTCCTCTAGGAAAGCTTCGCAACGGACTTGCACCTTTCAGTTCCAAAGCTTCTCCCAACTTGAGAACTGAGGCAAAGGCATTGAGCAGTCGCGAGATGATGTGTAAAGGGCGGTTCCTTGCGAGCCGCTCCTAGATATGTGTGAGCTTCCCAGCGCTTTACATGTGTGCCCACTGCGCAAAAAGACTATGCATATTGCCAGCGGCGTGTGCTGCATCTGCCTACTGCTCGAAATCCCGCAGTGCTCGGCTGTGCAAATGCCACAACTTTTTGCTGCTCTCACTTGCATGAAAACCGTTGCTCTCATTGTTCCTGCTTATGTCAGTTGCAGAGGATACTGTTGTTGCTTCCGACAGCGTCTTCAAGTCGTTTTGTCAAGTTTAACAGTCATCTCAAGACGCCACGACGGCGGCTCCTACCTGCTGCTTAATAACATTGGTCACGAGTGCTGCTGCAACTTCTACTGTAATTATGGGCTCCAGATGCGCATAGGCTATCGGATCATCATGAGCTCTGTCATCGTCATGTAGTAATGTAGTAATTACCACCGTCGTCATCACCAACAGCATCGAAAGGAGCTCAACTCCTCAGCCCTGGACGGTGGTCTCGGCCCACGCGGTGCTTTGGGTCCCGAGCCTCGAGCTTGGAGCTTAGCTGCTTAGCTTGCAGGGCATGCCCTCGACCGTTTCACTGTGCCGGCTTTCAATCTGCAACCCGTGACGGTGGACACAAAGCACTGCGGAAACCTGATCCTTCTCGATTTTCCGCTGTCATGGTCGTGTTTTGGGTTCTAGCTGGAGGGTCTCGATATCGCAACGGCAACAAGTCCATCCTTCGAAAACCTCGTCTGATCGGATGTTTGTGGGTTGCAACCCTCAAAAATGCAGCCTTTAAACCCGTAGCGCAGACTAAGCCTTGGTTAGACCTCCACTCTCCCGCAGCACCTTCGGAAATTCTATGCCCACCCTCACTACTATCCACTCACAAGTTGACCGCTACTGCTGCTGCAAGTACTACTGCTGCGTACTGCAGTTGCTGTTCCTCCTCCTCCTCCTCCTCTTCCTCCTCCTCCTCCTCCTACGGCTGCTACTACTACGTCGCCGACTACTACTACTCCTACTACTATTACTACTACTCCTACTACTCCTACTCCTACTCCTACTCCTACTACTACTACTACTGCTACTACTACTACTACTACTACTACTACTAGGCCTTCCCCCCCTGGTGCGACGCCGGTCGCTGAGTTCGTGGATGTACAACATGTTCCATCACAGCTGTCGCGGTCCAAGATGCGCTAGACCATGGACGTCATTAGGTTTTGGACATGGGTGCTCTCCAAACCAAAATGCGCTAGACCATGGACGTCATTAGGTTTTGGACATGGATGCTGTCCAAACCCAAATGCGCTATACCATGGACGTCATTAGGTTTTGGACATGGATGCTCTCCTAACCAAAATGCGCTAGACCATGGACGTCATTAGGTTTTGGACATGGATGCTCTCCAAACCAAAATGCGCTAGACCATGGACGTCATTAGGTTTTGGACATGGATGCTCTCCAAACCAAAATGCGCTAGACCATGGACGTCATTAGGTTTTGGACATGGATGTTCTCCAAACCGAAATGCGCTAGACCATGGACGTCATTAGGTTTTGGACATGGATGCTCTCCAAACCAAAATGCGCTAGACCATGGACGTCATTAGGTTTTGGACATGGGTGCTCTCCAAACCGAAATGGCTAGACCATGGACGTCATTAGGTTTTGGACATGGATGCTCTCCAAACCAACGATTTGAATGAACATCATGATCAAAATGAGGCCCAAAAAACCTTGATTCTGATCGCTAGGTTTTGGGCACGAACATCGAGACACCCAAAAACAGTAAAAAATCATGAACTTCGCAAAGACAAGTGCTGTAAATACCAGCATTTTCGGGTGCGAGATTGATGAACAATGTTAGAATATATGATAAAAATACACACGAAACCAGGAACAGTTGCCACTTTCGATAACTGCGGAAAAAAGTGCTGTAAAACACAGCATTTCCGACCACAGCAAGTCACAAAAATAAGAGGTTTGGGCGTCGCACCGGGGGGGGGAAACCCTACTGCTACTACTACTACTACTACTACTACTACTACTACTACTACTACTACCTCCTACTACTACTACTACTACTACTACTACTACTACTCCTACTACTACTACTACTACGACGACGACGACACGACGACGGCGTCGCCGCTGCTTGCCGAACTGCTTTCGCATTTGCTGCGACTGCTCTGACTCTAGCTTTCCACTTGCCTTGGCTGAGCTGCCAACCGGAACTCTTCGAACGGCCGCTCAGCTCTAAGCGTGCCTGGTGCATCTCCTGGTGCCACTTGAGGGCCCCACAGATGGTTGTAAGTACAAGTGCTATGCTGGGATTTGATGTTCGCGTTGTAGCAGCGGCGACAGTACACAATCATGGAATTCGACGATGGTTATTGAGGCGGTGGCGGTGTCCGTGTGATGATGCCGGTGCCGAGGGTGGTGTTGCTACTTCTGCTTTTGCAGATGGTGGTTCTGTTGAACTTGCCGGCTCTCTGAAGCCTGCACACCGAGATCGTCCTCCAGCAGCCAGTTGAGCCTCTGCTTGATGTTGGTGGACTCCTGCAGAATGTCTTGGGCTGGGGAGTCTTTGTGTACTCCTTGTGTGGCGTGCCTTGGGACTGCACAACCAGATTTGATCTCATTCCTGGGGTTGGACCTAGAGCAAGCCTTGACCCCAACTCTACACATGATATCTATATATATATATATGTTAGATGCACGACATGGTCGACATGATTTCGCGAAATCCTTCCCGATGCCTACTCGGTGTGGTCCTTGGCCCGGACGTGCTCTTGCATCGCAAAGGGGAAGGCTTGGATCTGCGCATTGGGGCGACTCGAGTGCGGCTGCGACCGACCCCTACAACTCCGAACCCGGAAGTGTCGAAGCTCAAGAGAGTCTGAGATCTCGGCAGAGGTGCGAATAATCCGAATGCGCTTCGGTCCTGCCTGCAGAAGGTGGTTGGGGGCTGGGTTTATGAGTCGAGGGCTTGCTGTCGAGGGCCATAGGCACAGACAGACCTTAATGTGGCCTTCCAAGGTTCCGGCAATTGAACTGGCAATAGGCTAAATGCCGCAGTTTCGGACGCAACCAGAAGCAAACATGCACTCCGTATCCACTTCATGGCCCGACGACTTCATGTGGGTAAGCAGTCGGCGTGCCGGGTCCTGTGATTCTGACGGACGCCCCACACTGTACAGCAGTCTTAGGCCCTCGTCACTGAAATCTAGAAGCCTCTTAAGGCCTACAGGCCCTCGCCCTCGTCAGCACCAAACCGTCTCATCCCAACCCGCCCGCCTCCTTTCGGAAGAGGCCCACGCTCAAAGCCAAGTCCCGGGCTGGCAGACAAGGCTTCGATTCCGCGGCTTTGGGTTTGAAGTTCTTTGGGGATTCGAGGCTTAGCCCAGGTAGCCTGAAAGAGTTCGACTTCGACTGATGCTACAGCACTCGATGCCAATTTGGATAGATGCAGCGGCTACACCGAAGTAACCTTAGCCAAGTACATGGAAGCATTTCTGAGCCAAGCTGAACAAACGAGACCATGAAACCGCAGCAACCCCTCCTCATGTCACTTCTGTGTGTTCTGGGTTCAAGGAGTCCTGCCCAAATCTCGAGCTCACTCGGTTTGGCTTGTAAAATCTCATATGGTGTTTTGGCCCGCGTGTTTCTGGTGATGCTTTGTTTGCTGCCTTCTTCTCGACTCTCTAACAACAGAATCCGTCTTCTCGAAGGTGTTTTGATTTCGCAGATCCCGGCATGGCACCACACTTCCTTGGAACAAAGACTTACCAGCATAGTCATGCTTAGTCCACAGGGTCAAAAGGTGCCAATCAAAAACTCGACGGAAGTGCAAGGCCATCCGGCGATGGAAATACGGCAATTAATTAATGCAGCTGAACATGCCGTGCAGGCAAAAGTCCATGCGATGCCAAGGGACTGAGATCCAGTATATCATTCCAGATCTTGCGGCCTTCCTTCAGCAGCGACATGATCAAAACAGGACGTCTGATGCCACTTGAACAATCAGTTGCGCCAATACAGGCTTGCCTGGAAACGCTGGTAGGCAGAATTCGTTCTGAAGACCAAGAGGAGGCTCAGACCTGCTACAACCCGTGGGGAGGCTTCAAAGTGAGAGTGATTCGTCTCCAGATCCGGGGCGGCCCTGAACCTCCTGAGGAGCATGCCGGAACCAAGGAGAGTGTGCACCTGCAGAGTTTACTTACAGCTGCCGCTTAGGGAAGCTCAAACAAAGAACAATGTCTTTTCATCTACATTGAACGCGCAGGGCCTCAAAGTTGACAACTTTACGGTCGGGGGCCCTTACACAGTTAAAACTAAACCAACCACTGACTTTCATACCTTACTGTGTGAAACTTTATGCAACAGTGACTCAAGAGTTAAAGCCGAAAACCAAGTCGTCAAAGGCTTGCCGGCACGTAAAGTCGGACGTGGCTGTTTCTTCTCGATCAAGGATCTCGCCAAACCTTTGTCGTGAGATCTAGTCTTTCATGCTCGCAGCACGTGCTACTTGAGATCTCCGCACATGCTCCAACCGTATGACAATGGACGCTGAACATGCTGATGTATGAACTGCAACTGCCAGTTCATGTGGATGCCAACTCGAAGCTCGCCTGCATCGTGGGGAGTCCCGGCATGCCGCAACAGCAATGCAATGTACTGATGACCGTGGCGACGACCTCAGCAACCATGGTCAACAAAACAAAATCAAGCCACCAATTGTGCATAAGGTTGGTCAGGCATGTCCGTATATGCACTTCTACTTGTTCAATGCAAAACCGGGATGGATCCTCAAACGTCTTCGCGCACTATGCGAAAACCCAACTTCTGATGCACTTCGAGGATTACATCAAGCCAACTTTGACGTACTTGTAAGTGCTGATGGTTTTGATATGTTATGATGGCTTTGTCATTATATCGAAGCTTCGCCTAAGCTCGAACCACGTTCGGTTGGTTTAACTGCAGATGTCACAGTGGGGACATGTGGGTCTGAGGTCCTGACCGTCATCCACAAAAGGGGCCCGGAAATGCGGTCCAACACCCGAGATTTCGGGATGAGCAGGAGGGTCCCGAACCTAGGTCGTCTGGATTGTGGCATTTGCAACACAAGTAGAAAACCCCTTCTGTTAAGTAAAACGTACGGCATACAGAATGTCATGCAAGTGTCTAGCATGTTCCATGCAGCATACAGGTTTTCTGTCACGACGAATGCACAATGATTGAAGGATGTCGCTCCTGAGCATTGCTTGCGCCAGAATACAGCTTCCGCAAGGTTTCGGGCGGAGTGCAGGCTGTCTTTGCGATTTCGTCACCGAGGCGCGGGCCAGTCTGCAGACGTGACACGTTCAGGTGAACGCAAATACCTCAAAACAAGCCGCATATGCCATCACCGCAAGCGCGCCATGCTGCAACAACACAGGCTGCGTCATTCCCTTGTCGTGAATACTACTTCACACTCGGAGCTGTGAACTCCATTATGAGTTTCCGTCGTACTTGTAGCATGGCCCGCTCGGAAAGCCAACCTCAACCATGCGGCGGGTTCTAAAAGCGCGACTGAGGTGGCCACTGCAGATACTCGATTGGAAGTGTTTGCAGCTTTGCAGACTCCGTAGAATCTTCCACCGTCTGTCTGGTTGACCTGAAAAGCATGGCAGCACGCGACCCCATGCGACCGTGGTCTACGCTGTGTAACGGCTTACAAACAGTTCAACTCATGCTTGTTCACGTAGCCGTGCTTTTCTGCCATGCTGAGTTAAGAGCTTTTCGCGAGCGCACGACTGCACGCCAGCGGGACAAGGTGGAGACTCGGCCTCGAGCTAAGGTTTTGCACAAGCACACCTGGTATCCACGCGTCCCCAACAACATCACATGTCACGGCTTAAGATGCAGACTCCAGACGCCGCAGACAGCACGGCCTGCAGGGGTGCTCTCGACCTGAACTGGCTACCTGGTAACTTGGCTCGGCTTCTGCCCGAGCTGAGGCAGGCGAGGCTTGGCATGCGTGAAGATGTATAGCATGTGCACGCGTAAGAGCATGCACGTGAGTGAAACCGTTCGATATGAAAACTAGCATAACTAGAAAGCAACCAGGCTTAAGAAAACCACTTGAGGCCACCGAAGCACCGATTACAGCCCACACGGTCTGGTACTACCATCGAACAAACGCAAGGCCCGCAGCGCAGCAGCAAGCGCACAACGCAAAAACGCAGAAACAAAACCCCTTCCATCCTTGTGACTTTGCATCTTCGCGATGCTCTGTGCTATGTGTGACGGCCGCAATCCCGCGATCAGTAGGATCAAACCTCCGGGTCACCCCAGCGGGCGCGGCCATTAGGGCATCGCCCCGCTGTCATACGGCCCAGCCCGGCCGCGTTGGCCCCAAGGTGACCTCGCAGGCGACTATCAGCCACAAAACTCAGCCCCAGCACCCGGCCAACGACGCTGACAGGCTCTGTTTGGTAAGGCAACCAAGCCGAGCACAATCAATTTCAACATGCAATGCCAAGCTTGCAAAGCGCCTGCGTAACTTTGACGGCATGCACGGCAAGCGAACAAGTACTGGGGAATTTCCACTCATGGCCAAGCAAGCATGCCGCAAGCACAGTTCTGACAGCATGCAGAGCAAGCAGCATTGAATCGCATGATTGGATGGAACTCCTCATCCGAACATCTCCGCCGAGATCCACTGGACTTGTACAGGCAAGACGGCTCTCCAGATGTTCGCAAATTGATAGCGCAAGCTTCTGTGGAAACGGTGCATGCCTTTCCCGCCGAGGCATGCAGCCAGCGGGAATCGGAAACTTGTTTATGCGGAGGGGCATGCTCAGCTCGACGGTCGGCTGGCAGTTCTTCCACAAGGGTGGTCCCTGACATGTTTGTCTATGCTCTCTGATATCAGCACCTTCTCTGTCACAAGCAGAACTTGCTAGACTGACTTCCAACCTGGCGATGCGAACGTGTCCGCTTTGCAACTCGCCAAGCAGTCTTTCCAACATGCCACTGATCCGGCCAATGTCCGCAAGAATTCGGGCTGTAAGTTGCGGGAATGTCGTCAACATGTATGAGCACTTGATTACCCAAGATATAACAGCTGCCATGCAGAAAGCGCAGACTCGGGACAGCAACGACCGCAGGATGCCACGAATACGCATTGATGTCTGGAGACAGAACTCTCCGGTGGTGGCTGCGCCGTGAAACGTCAAAGGGCTTGTCCGGACACAGCCGCTCGCATTCACAATGCAACTCGAACACCTGAACACCCGGTGCAATGGGTACTGCGTAAGTCAGGCCACGGTACATGCTCGGTGTCGAAGCAGTCGATGCAAACAGCTAGTACGGGGCAGTCTACCAAAAGACAGAGTACAGCACAGGACAGGTCTTCACCCTCTACTGCATTCTTCCGTCCTGCCGTTCTATTCCCCGTGCCTCTGCATCTTCCTTCGAGATTCTCTTCCGCTTGTCTGTGCCACCTCTATCCGATGCCGCTGGACAACTTCTCAGCAGGCTTGGTGTGCAAGTCAAGCGCTTCTTGTTAACAGTTTTCCACACTGCACCCCTCTTCAGCTGGCTGCTCACGATAGTATCTCTCTGTAAGGCGGTGAAACGAAGCTAGCTCTGAGCAAACCTGGTTACAGCTTGGAAGCGTGGGCATTTGGGTCCAAATTATGCTAGCCCGGCCACCGGCGGCATCTTTGGCAGGACCTGCCAGGCTAGCAGGACAGCTTCTGCTGATGGAACAACCGCAACAACGATGCCCCTGCGACTGCTGCTATGACGAAAGCTAAAATATGAAAACGAGACGACGACAACAACAACAAATAATAATCCCGTTCTGCGCCTACAACCCTTTCGTCGGTCATGGCGGTGGTGGCGGCGGCGGTGGTGGTAGTGGGTAGTGGTAGTGGGTAGCGGTAGTGGTATTCGTGGTCATCACTATGATTAGTGGTTGTTGTCGTCGTAGCAGCAGCAGCGGCAGCGGCAGCGCAACGGCCGTGTGATATGTGCTGCTGCCACCTCCCACCGTCTGAGTTCAGACGTTAAAGCAAGGGCTGCAAGCCCATGCTGCAAATCACGAAAGAAACGCCGAAACCTGCAAGGAACCCACGAAACTCCAAAGCCTGAAGCCTGGGATTTTCGATTCGGCCTTGCCATCGTGCGCAACGCCGCTGCAACGGCGGCCCCTTCAGGCTGAACAATTGAACAAAGGCAAAAGGTTGAGGTTTCTGGGGCTCAGGATATGGTTCAGCTGCTGTGGGGTGGGGACGTTTCCAGTAAGCAGTAAGCGAGCTGGATAAAGACGGTCGCAGTAGTAGCTGTGTTGCAGTGTGCGGGTCCTCAAGCAAACCCTGACCACGCTAAACCCTGAAAACTGCGCCATATTAACCGGATCCATAGCTCAGGTCAGGGCCGCTGCGGCCGCTGCACATAGGCCGTCTGCCAGCCCTTCAGGTGTGTTTAGCTAATGGGTCTAAAGTCACAGGAACAAGCCTTGCGGATTCACGGGGTGAGCAGTAGCAGCAGCAACCATACCGGCAATGAACGTCACGACTCAGAATATGAACACGGCTCCTAGGTGGACAGAACTTCGAATGGATTAACCTTGGTGCACAAGCCGGGGAGTGCGATATCGGGTGCAAGATGTGCCTTGAATCTACGCTGAGGGCGGATGGATGCCAAACCGTCAACCGTGAGACGAACGGTCAACCCTAGGCTCCAGCACCTCTGAATGTACGACTGCAAGACATGCATCAGCTGCCAATTTGGGCCCCAGAAACATTGAGTCTGTGGCAAGACATGCCGTTAAGACCAAACATGAGAAGCCTCTCGTCCGGCGAACTGGCGGCGAGCGAGAAGGTTGCCTGCAGGGCAGTAGCATCTTGAACCCTGGCAAGCCGGCAAGCCTAGATTCCGACAAACGCAAAGTCCAGGCGGCAAACGCTGGCGCTGCGTTTCCGATCAGTTGGAAGTTTCCTGACGGACCTGCGTCCGGTGCTTCACTGCTTTACCGAGCTGGCGATTCACGGATTCACGTGCCGAGCCCACGCTCTCCCAGGACCTGCCCTTATGCCTTGCATGCAGAGGCGACCCTTCATGTACCGAACCGACGAGTCGAAACTGAACAAACCCGTTCTCCTGCAGTGGTGCAGTGATGCTCACCATTGAGCTTGCGGATCAGATTCCTTTCGTTCTTGTTGTCGTTGTTGTTGCTCTTCTTCTTCGGTGTTGTAGCTTGTGTGCTGCCAGCAGGAGGACGCACGCCTTAACCGTTGAGGACTCCACAAGAAAGGGAGAGGGACTGAGAACTCGGGACAGGATTGCTGAGCCGGGGCCCGAACGACACCAGAGGGACCCGGAGGCAGAAGCCACCACTGAGACACCGAAGGATGCTCGTCCTTTCCAGTGCCTTCCTCGACATGACACTGTGCAGTTCTGTTCGTACCACCACTTCGGTGCACACGTGCAGGCTCGAAGAGCGCACGAGTGGAAGGCTACTGGAGCTCTTGGTGAAGATAGATTTGCTGTGAGATGAACGCCAAGCGGTGCTTGCTACTCTCGGCATAGAACAAGCATGTCAAGCAAGTGTGGTGCCTACGACAGAGCTCATTTCAAGGTTCAGGTCGTGCCTCCTCTCTTGCTGCTGCGGCTCGAAGCGCCAGACCTCAAAAAGACTCGGTGCTCGTTGGATCGATCAACTGCTCGGAAATGCTTGCAAGTATCTGGCCAGAAAGGCCTTGGCTCTGCCGTGCAAAAGCATTGCTAATGACTCGATGAGGTAGAACTTCGGTTCAAGCTACCTTGCTCCGTCTCTCTCTGCACTTCAAAGGCATGAAGAGCATGCGGCCGGGCCCAAGGCAGGCTGCAACTTTCTCGGTAGGGCGGCCGGGAAGCCATCCGGTGTTGCGAGCATGAGTCTCTGCGATGTGTTTTGGTCAAGGCTTGCTACATACTGCCGGGTTTCTGCAGCCTTCTTTTCAAGCAATTTTCCGTCGGCCTTTTGGCAGTTGGTGCAAAGTCTCAGCACCGGCAACATGGACTTGCTCACTTCTAGTATTTGTCGTCCCTTGTGAACACATAAGCAGCATCAGCACGAGCTTAACTTGCGAAACCGTGATATCAGTGGTACGACTCCTGTAGCTGTGGCTACCATTGCATCGTTGCAGCTGCTACTGCTCTGCAGCTGAGGGCTCCTGCTCCTACTGAGGTCCTGCTGTTGATGCCCGCAGTCGTTGGTGTAGCCCTTGTTGAAGGAACTGCTTTTAGATAGCACCGGTACCTCTCATCGGTGGCAGCGCTCTTCCTCGAACCTCAATTCCGTATAACTGCGGATTTGCCTTGCTAGGCCACTCTGTTGCTTGCTGCCACCCGATTGCGAGTGGCTAGCACCTTTTGTGTGCCGGACATAACCGTTCTCGAAGCTGAGTTCCTCGCTTGCTTCTTTCCGAGAGGGGCGCTTGCTTGAAGTCAGACCAGTCGCCGAAAACAACAGCGATATTCAGGATGTGCATTGGTTTAAGGATCGCTACAGACTTGAAGATGTATTCAACAGCTGTCAAATACGCCGTGCCGAGTGAGGGTGATGTGACGATGTTGAAGATGGAGCGCGGTGGTGAATGCAGATGATGGTCATAGTGTATGGTCTTGGTCATGGTGACAGATGACGAGCATGGCTCATTTGCATTCGTTTCATGCTTTCCTGGGTGCTGGGCACAGGGTCGCAGGGTGTGTGTGTGTGTGTGTTCCACCCATGATTGTGCACTTCTGACTGCTCGCGGTCGTTCGAGAACTTCATTGCTTTGCTTCGTTCCTGGGGCATGCCTTCCGCTCCGATGGTTCGAAACCCTCAGCTTCCCGCAATCTGATATCTGAAAGCGAATAGCTTCATAAAGCTGCAAATCAATGCCGAAACACCTACTCAGTTTGAACATCTTGCGCAAGAAGCTCTGAACACGACTGATTTTAGCCGAAAGTTTGCCAACCTGCCTCGAACCGGAAAGTCGCGTGTGCAAAACAAGCAAAGTCAGGTTCACACTTCCGGCCAAGCTGCTGGCTTGGAACTCTGGACTCCATTTTGCTTCGGCCATGAAATTGTCTGCCGCCGAGAGCGCCGCAGAGATGTGATTTCACAGTCTTCACTGCGCTCTTCAAACATGGTACAGACTCTTCGGTCTCGCAGGTGTGTGGCTCTCAGCGGCAAAATACAACACCATAAACCTTCCAGGAGATTGCACCGGCTATCCACACACCGTGCGTGTAGTTTCTGATGGTATGTGGGGTGTTCTGCCCAGCAAAATGCAACGATTCTTCAAGATTATAAACGATAATACGCAGCAGTCGTGGTCCTGGTAGTAGTGGTAGTGTTGGTAGTGGTAGGGGCAGGAGGAGGAGGAACAGTTGGAGTTGGAGCAGGACTTGTAGTCGTGGTGGTGGCGGCGGTTGGGATGGTAGTGGTAGTGGTAGTAGTCGTCGTCGTCCTACATGTCGAGATGGTCATGGTTCTCCTAGTGGTGGTGGTATTAGTCGTGATAGTAGTCGTAGAGGTAGTAGTAGCAGTCGTCGTCGTGGTGGTAGTAGTGGTGGAGATAAAGGCGCCCGCTCGTGGTCTCACAGTTTACGTTAGGCTGTTGTCGTCTCCATTTGCATCCTCACGTGAGATCGTCATCATAAACCTTCCTCATCTGTGGCGGCATCATCATCACCATCGCGATCGCGTAGCAGGAATGTTGAGACGGACGAGCACCATCGCTCTTCCCTCCTATGGCGGAACACCTCCTCCCACTGGCAAGGGAAGTCTGAGCAAAATCCGGGGTGTGCGAGTCTGGCTGTTCGGGCTTAGTATTGATCTGCTGCTACCATCGTACGGTGCTGGCTATCCAGATCCTGCTGCTTCCCTTCTTGTGCAACTGGACATTGCCGACCGTCTTGGCCCTGTGGCAACACTTTCGAATTCAGGCAGATGATTGGCACTCTATGGCTCGGATTCACCTATGTAGTTGGAGTCCTGTTGCTTTGATGCATGATCCGCGGAAACCCTATCAATCCTCGCAAACACAGGGAAAAAATAATCTTGATGGCGGCAAGCTTTCATCCGCAACCACAACACTAAACGGGTGCCGTCTCCCCAGCACCTGCTTAACTGTCTGACAGCGTCTGTGTAGAGCAAGGGAACACAGCAGAGTCTAAGCTTGCGTTCATGGTACCACTACCCACGGAACAGCACAGAACTGCTTGTTCTCAGTAAAGGAAGACCTTGATGCTCCAGACCCAGCAGCCGAACCAGCCCAATGTGCCAAACAGCGGCCCAAATGCCGGGAAGGGGCTCGACGGAAATGAACTTCAAGCCTCCGATGTTAGTGGCATGCCGGTCTTTTTGAGGGGTCCGTTCGAGGGTCTCCGAAACACATCATGTTAGTGACTCTTTGGTCTTTTGCTGGCTGTGAGACTTGACATCATGCCATATCACACGGAAGGACTGCATCGGCTCCTCAAGCAATCAGTGGAAACTGATACTAAAAGTGGCAGTGGCAACAGCAGCTAGCGGGGTAAACAACATTTTCCAGGATTCGAGATCAATAAAAGGCGCAACAACAAAATGTTACATAACCCTTCGTCGCTGTGGCCGACGTCGTTCTCTTCCTCCTCCTCCTCCTCCTCCTCCTCCTCGTCGTCGTCGCCATCGTCACCATAGTCGCGGAATTAGTGCTGGTGTTACTGCTCTCGTTCTTGTTCTTGAGTTTGCTCTTGTTCTTGCCATTGCTAGTGTTCTGGCCGTGCTTCCTCTTGACATTTTCCCGTTGGTTGTGCCATTGTTTCTGTTTTTGTTGGTGCTATTCTTCTTACTGATGCTGCTTTCGCTGATGGTGTTGAGCAGCAGCAGCAGCAGCAGCAGCAGCAGCAGCAGCAGCAGCAGCAGCAGCAGCAGCAGCAGCATCACAAGTGCTATCGTCATCACCAGCATCATAGAGCTGTCACAGTGTGATGATTTGGGCCGCCCTGTTTGTGATAAACCAAGCGCTCGCAGGCAGTTGAAAAAAGCCATAGCGGTACCCGTGTGGGTTGGGCATCTTGCCTGAGACAATGTTGACGGCCGCATGATAACCACGCGTCCGTACCAGCCTCGATTGAGAGAAAGCGCAGCGCACACTCTCCACGGAACAGCCAGGCCGGTCAAGTTCTGATCTTCGTCTGAGTTTGCAGCAAGTTGCTATGCTCGCAGCACTTTGATGGTCAACACCTTGCAAACGTGAGCATGTGGCTTTTGGAGAAGGTAGTGCTGCAGCTTGCGAATCTGGCTGGGATCTTGGAATTGACAGCTCTAGGGTGATCTATGTCTGTAACTGAGGTTTAGGATGGCTTCAGACTCGCAGCCTGCAAGGGCTCACGCACTGACTGCCGCCCGGAAGAGATGCTGCCACGACCGCAGCTGCACTCCGACAGGTGCGGCTGCTGCGGATGTCGCTGCATGTGTAAGTGTAGCAGGTGCGCATCAATGTCACCAACTGCAATTGAAGAAACTGCTGCGCAGTCCCTTGCCTGGTCTCTCTGGCACTGGTCCACAAGCTGGGCAACTTCCTCGCGGACACCATTCACCTGTTCAGGCGAGCGAGCTTCTTTTGTGGCTTTGCCGGCATTGCTGACTAAAGTGGATTGGCCGCTGTGGCAAAGAGAATTCCGCACACGATTGAACCCGAGGCACGCACACCGCACAAATGCTTTTTCGGCTGGGCAGACCGGCACAGGGCAGCACGGGGCCTGATCCTTCTGGATGCTTGGGGGCACTCCGTGTCTCACCGCAGGTCAAGCAGGGCATCAGCGAGCTCTGCACTTCAGGCTTAAGCTATTCTTGATTTCGTTCTCTAGACCGGGGCACTGAAACGTAGGACATTCTCTGCACTGCAGCGGCTTCAGTGTAGCGGAAGACAGGGCCGACCCCTCTGCACAGAAGCTTTACAAGTAGCTGCAGTCTCCACCGAGAAAAGCCGCCTTCCAACCAAAAACCTTGTCAGTCAGCGAGACTTCTCCATATACCGCGGCTCCGCTGCGCCCCGGCGGACGGCTTTTGCCTTCCTGGAGTCGAGCATGTGGCAACAGTGCGGCCGGGCTTTCCTCGACGGCTTTGGCGAGAGTTCACGAGGTGCTTGGGTACTTTTGCGGATAGGATCGGGGTTCAACACCTGTCAGTTAGGCCAAGTCAGGGGACAGGCTCGGATCCACCACTCCACAAAGCTTAAGAGCTCATCTCGACAGATTTACACTGTACACAAAAACACCGAAGTCATAGCAAAAGCTGGGCAAACCTTTCCCCGTGTAACCGCAGTAAGACTCAAAATCGGAAGGCATTGCACAATTGTTCCCCACCATGCAACCGTTGGCAATTCTTGAGAAGGTTTCAAAGTCGATTCCGACGTTCACAAGAATTCATCGCATCTTCTCTTCCCCCCACATAACAGCGCCGTATGCACAAGGGCATGGGCTTATCACATCCATGGTCCACATAGCACGAGGAGGAAGGAGTGCATGTTCGACACCGATCAAGGTGGCATAGACCCCTTCGGCAATAACAGTTGACGGAAGAGCTAGTAGGCATCATCTCATGTTTGCTCCTTACAGCCCGACTGACGATGCAAATTCTTTATGCCTACACCTAACCCCGATGTCCAACCCCCCGGCCCTTGAATCGCAGTGGTTTTACCAGTGTGCCCGCGGAATGTTACGACTCATGGTTCTACCTACCCCCAGTGTCTGAACAACTCTGATGAGATGTGCTACGACTTCGGTAGTCCCCGGCATGCCCTCCTGATTTACGGTTTGGGTCGGCAGCCATGGCCCTTAATTTCTCCACCCACGAACCCGGCCTGGCAGAAGCAGAAGTCGTTGCAAGTGCGCCAAGGTCGTTGGGCTGGTCCACCAGAGCGTGCTTCTAGGACTCACCTGTGAAATGCGGCCTGTCATACACCTCTTCAAAACTGAGATCGCTGGCTAGTTCCGCCTTTTCACCAACTCCTGACAAATGCACCCTGTCGGCTGCCTCGGCCCAGTCACTGAAGTCGACGGTCGCAGCGCTGGCGAGTCAAGGTCTCCTTTGCTCCGCGAGCGTGGCCACAGCCTGCAGCGTACTGGAGCCGTTTCTCTCCTACCTGAGGGGCCCAGGGGCCAGCTCAGACTCAGACCCTCCGCCTCAAGCTCGCGTGAAGACAGCCGGAGGATAGGCAGCTTGCACACTCCTGCGCACATTCACCGCATTCACCAAAACACCATTACCCTGACAAAGGCCACATCATCCTCTGAACCCTCTTCAGTTCCGCCAGAGCCCAGGCCCTAGGCTCCTCCAAAGGCCCTCCAGCTCTCGCGGAGCCTTCCGGTCGCCAGCTGTCAGCCGTCGGATCAGCGCCTGCGTGCTTGGCAGCAACCCAATGCATCCGGCGGGGCGCAGGGGGGGGGGGGCGCGCGGCTTGAGGTGCACCACGCCTTGATGTGACACCGTGACATCGTGTGGTGCCACGGGGGTCCTAGATTGGCTTTCCAGCGCACACAAGGGGTTGCCAAGCGGAATGATGCAATGATTTCGGGGTCGGGATCCATCAGTCTCAAGACACAGCTGAGTGTGGGTCCTCCGCAGCGAGAGATGGAAAACTTGCCCTGATCCATCCAAACCAACCAAACTCCACGCCGAAGCAGCCCAAATGAGAATGCAGGGTTCGGGCCCCTTTTTCCTTCATTACGTTACGACTTCGCCTCCAGAGCCACGAACTCCTTGGTGTCAACCTGACGCTCGGCTCAAACGCGAGTGGCCATAAGAAAAGACGCAGACGTGCGGCACACACGAGGGGCAGTGGCAACATTCGCTCGGGTCGTGCTGAAGGAGGCCATATGTGTGTAGATTCGCAGGTCCAAAAGGTTCCACTGACCAAGGAACAAGGCTGTGACTTTGACAACTGGGCAAACGCATCGCAAAGATGTTTTGCTGTCGGGGTGCCGGCTGTGGCTTCAGGCTTCCAGATGCCACTTTGGGATACAGCTCCTGATGGCAAGTCAGGGCAGGTTTAGAGCCTGCCGCAATGTAGTGATATTTGCTGCCCGAATACGTCCGAATCGAATGCAAACAATGGTACTGGTTCTTGTGAATTTGAATCGCCACAGCTACGACGCAGAGCCCAAAGCCGCAGGCCGCACAAAGAGCAAAAAGGTTCTACAAGTACTGCCTCAGCCAGACCACAATGCGTGCTTCCATGAATGCGTGTGCAACGTGCGTCCTGAGGATCCGGGTTCCTGAAGTCGGACTCCTGATGCCCGAGTGGGATACATCATGGGGCTCAGCAAATCACAGCACCGATCATGAACTGTCTCTACGTCTTCCCTCCAGAGCGCGAGCCTTCAACTTTTGGATGTCCGCTACCTCAGCGACTTCATTTGGACTGTCTGCTTATGCAGACTGCCCTTCGGAGCACCCGCTGTCTAGGCTGGACACTGGCTGGACCCAGCATGGACTGAACGAGAGCTGCAGTACTGCATGCATTCCCACAGCATCCCACAGTGCTGCCCTGTCACCTCTGCCCACATAGCACCAACGCTCTCCTTTGCTTGCGAGCTTTGAACCCATTCAAATCACTCCCCGACTCCAGACACAGGCTCTCCAGCATCCGGATACGAACTCTTCGGGAAAGAAGCCCAGTCGGGAACGCTCTTCGGCTCGGCGTGGGCATCGTCCTGGCAGAGCACCAGATCGCACCAGCTTGCTTCAAACCGCCCTTCGAAGGGCCCCGGGTCCTCGGGCTCGGCCAAGAAGACCGCGCGCAGAGTCTGGTGGCTGTCGACCATCAGGCGCAGGAGCCCTGGCCACTACGAAGGGTTTGGGGCTCACGGGAGCTTTGCGAATTGGAATGGGCGGCGTGCTAGAATCAAGGAGGGGAGACGTGATGACCTGCGATGCAGATGACGGCATGCAAGGGGTCGGCCTGTCACTTTCACAGAGATGCCGGCTTCCTCCAATGCCTCACGCCGGCAGGCCTTGGCCATGAACGAAACAGGGCTTTGAGGCTTTCGGAAATCTCGAAGACGAGTTTGCTGTTGACCCCGGGAGCATGGGGCCAGGGCCGTAAAGCTGGGTGAGAAAGCGAACCATTGTTCCAAGGAGCCGCCTGAACCCTCTTCAAAAACCTCTGTATCTGCACATGACATCCCCAAGCCCTATCAATCACAGGCGCAAGCTCGCTGAAAAAACAAAGCGGATTGCTCGGGAATTCTCATATCCCGAAACCATCAAACTACAACCATATCGGGCTGTGCCAAGGGAGGACCGAAGGAAAGTTTGTGGGGCCTCCTGCAACGACTCTCCTCGGTCGACGCGGCCGGCAGGCAACCAGAAGTTGGGTCGGCCCCCTGGCGTCTGTTGGATTCCAAGCTTAGGGGCCCTGTGCGGTTTTAGTATGCCTGTGGCTTATGGGGATTTCACGCCTTGGATCGGGGTCCCTAGATGGTTGTTTGAATTGCTTCTTGGAACGTTTATAACAACGGATGCTGTGATGTCGCCATTGCACTGAAGACCGCTGCAGCAAGGGATCGCTACGAAATAGATGTCGGGATGACTCAGTGCTTGATATGACTGTCGAGCGCTGCTCTAGGACTTGGTCGGGATCGTGTTCTATTGCGAAGTCTACCGCCCTTTGCATTCATAAATTCCTCCGCATGCTGCACATCTCACTGCAACATGGCACCAAATCTGATCAGGGTTGTATGGGCTTTGCTCGCAGGACTCGCCAAATTGGTGTTTTATGGTTTCGTCTGGACGCGCCGTTGCTCTGTGCAAGCCTAGCTGGCTTGGATAATGAACCCAGCGGCCGGCGATTCCCGAGGGCTCGTTCACGAGCCTTGGTCCCATGCTTTATGAGGTCTGACCTTCCTGGTCTTAGTAGAGAGTGCTATGGCAGACCACTTTGCCGAAAGAGTTGTGCTCGGGGTTTCCCAAAAGAACCAGATCACAGCCTCCCTGTGCCCAAAATTTGCCATGGCAAAGATCTGACTGCACTATTGTTCATGGAATGCGACATCCCTGGATTTGCGCCGGGGGACAGAAACCGACCGTCGAGTCGACGGCAAACGCACCATGCCTTATGGCCGACAGCCCGACATTTTCACAATGCGGAGTGGCGCTTGCAAGAAGCGTGCCTTGTCATGCCAAGGTACGAAGGTCGCATAGGGAGCCCGTGGCGGCTCCCGCTCTGTGGGCCTCTGGGAAATCCAGGGCCCCATAGCATTACAGCAATTTTCAGGGCATTGCAACACGATTCTTCACGCGTCTCAACTGGAATGGTCAAAATCTGCAAGGACACAATCTCCTGCACCCTGCATCGGTTAGAACCCTCTGAGTCTCCCACGGGCCATGGCTGTTGTGCAGGTGAACCGCCAAATTCGACGGCCGCTCTGCGCAAATCGGGCACGAATCCTTGGTCTGTTGAGATACGGCTTCATCTGTCGGTTGCTCGTGCCACGCTTTTCCCGTCAGAACCCTCGCCGTCCTCCGGCACTGCGTCCACGGCATGGTGGAAGTGCATGTGCAAGTGCAGGGCATTCTCCTAAAGCGCTCTACGGGTCTACGAGTGATTCTCATGAAACCCGGGGTCTTGGAGGCGGATGAGACGGCAACAGCGCTAGCAACTCCCAAAACTTTCAGTGTTGGTTCTACTTTTCGAGGTGGGAGTGCGGGGGAGCCGAGATGGGTGCGGACTTCTGTGTAGCGTAGTATTTGGTCACCCATGCCTATAGGTTTCGTCTTTTTGTTCTGAAAGGTGGCCTGTGATTCGCCTCCTTCCTTACTCAACCTGTCAGACTACATGGCATGAACCGTTCGTTGTCAATCAATTCTCTCAGCTGTCCAACCAACCGCAGCACGACCCTCTCCGTGCCTGTTGGAGTCCTGTTCCCTTCCCCTCGTGCCGCAGCCTTCCTACCGTCAGAGATCCCGCTCTGCCTGGTGTTGTGTTCCGAAGCTTCGCCTCACCTCATGTTCGATGCGCTAGCCAAAATTCAAATCCAACGCCCTTTGCTCTGAAATCATCAAGTACTTGATCCCAACCCGACTCTTCAGCCCAAGAGCCGACAGCGGGCCGAGTCCGCATGCCGTGCAAGCGAAAGGCCCGGCGCTGCTGAAAACCGCAGAGACCTGCATGCAAATCTGCGGCTGCGCTTTGAAGTGCACCAAGACCTTCTGTTTCTTGCCACTTTCAGCTCTTGTGTCAGGTGCGTGCAAAACACTGAGAAAGCCAAACCTACATTTCCCATAGGACTCCTGTCTTCGTCCAACAGAGTCCTCATTTTGCTTTCAATATGAACCTCCAGAAGGGAATGCTGGCCTTGGCCAGTGCTTCCCTTACAGCAGCGACCGACGAGGTGACCTGCCACCGCGAGCTCCTGCTACTGCCGCTAGTACTGCTAGGACTAGGATGTTTTTTTGCAAACTCTGCAAGCTGAACTGTGAACCAACTCCCTGCAAGCCCCCGATGCCCGCCATGCGGGCTCCCGCATCGAAAGCAGCTAGCCGCGAAGCCGGGCAGCGGGCGAAAGCCTTACAGAAAGCAATCTGTTCGGAGAAAAACAGCCGTGTAACAACTAGTAGACGCCGACTCGTCCAGCCTTTCCTCGCTGATAAGACATAATACTTATTGGCCGCCTCAGCTACAAAACCACCTGAGTGAGACTTTCCCTTTGCGCCTCGTCCATTGCAATGGTGAAGACTTGACCATGACCTGCAGCTTCAACCGTGCTTGAAGCAATCGAAGACGGGCGCTTAGGGAGCGTAGTGTTGGGGACGACAGCGGAGACCAGCTCGGTCGGGCCTCTTCGCAGGGTTCGGAGGAAGTCCTTCTCGGGTGACTGCGCCAGAACCACTGCCAGCCGGCCCGGCAATCGACTGAGTTTGTTGAGAAGTGCATGGTGATCGAGGGCTGTAGCTGCAAAACAGCTGGCATGGAAGTCATCCTAGTTTCAAGCTTTGGCCTTGGCCCTGCACCAAAGTCCACAGCTTTCAAACTCCTACCCCGCTCCGGGCAGACCGAGAATTTCGCTGCATCAGCGGCGCCCGATGCAGCTGAGTGCAGTCGCTGGAGCTACCACCTGCAGAGAAGATCTGAGGATCTAGTCAGAGCTGGGTGTTGGTTTGGGGCGATGCTGCGTAGGCCGCACATGAATAAATGCATAGCACAACTGAGACCTATCAGGACAACACTGCAACATTCCAACCAATAGACACGTAAACAGCCGCGAGCTTTCTGTTTTGGCCGGGCCGATTGAATGTAGCAGTATCACGAAGCCCAAACCCTGATACTGTAGCGGGATCTTGCATTTGGGCGTAGGCTCCGTGTTGCAAGGTTTCGGGGCATTTTGGGCTGAGTGGAATCTCCGCCTCTGCCCGGAGCCCAGCGTGCAGCACCGCCGCAGAAAGCTCGGCCACAGGGTCGGCGGAAACAACCAGCGCCCAAGCCTCCGCCAGGAGTTTGAGGCCCATTTTGATGCTGTTGTAGCTTCACGTCGCCTCTCTTGACTTACGAATTGCCGACATGTGCGACGTGAGTTCCCCCTAGAGCTGTATTCGATATCGCAATCTCTAAGCCAGCCTAAAGTTGCCCGAAAGCATGAACCCGTGGATCCTGCCGGGCAAGGAATGGTGCGTCGCGCCTCGCCGCCGAGCCGGGGCTCGTCGACCATAGCGCGCAGTCTTCGGATACTCAGGAAGATAAATGCACTCCAAGACTTGAAGCAAACGTGCTTGATCCGATGGCGGCTAGGGGGGCGACCACGCCATGTAAATTCATTGCTGCTGATGTTGGCCGTGGCAACTCGCACTTCCATGTCGACTGCAAGACACAGCCTTCAAAACGTTCCATCGACTCCCGAATATTCCGAGCCCTCAGCACAAGAGCTTCAGGCCAGCCTCTGTTATGCGATCATTGATCTGCACCTCATCCAAGGAAGTCTCTTCGCCCAGCTTGCCCAGCTTCCCACATGACATCACTCACATCTTAGGGATTGGGGATCCGATTTCAAGAACAGGCTTGCAAGGTCTGCATGGCTCATGCGAAACGTAATGCCAAAGAAGGCCTAACTCAAAGCGATGGCCTTCGTCTCGTCGGGTGCCGTGTCGTTCCAGTCCTGCTAAGACTAGGACGCGACGGGAGGGTCCTCACTGTGCGGGTTTCGACCTAAGATTGGACAAAGCCTTTCCATCAACCTGACCCCCGAAACTGCAAAATCCCCTGCAGGGGCGGCCTTCACCAGACCTTCATTGATGCCTCAGTAACGGAAATTTCAGTCCAGCTGAGGCAGTGCCTCCCCTTGCTCAATGTAGCCGAAGGCATGCCGTTCCCAGCCGAGCTCTGGGCATTCAATCAGCAATGTCTTTCCATCCTTGTGATCCACATCGATGCCCAGCCTGGCTGACAGCTGGGTGTTCAACTTGAACTGGGTGTGCGGTGTGCGCCTGACTTGTTTGCTGTTCGAGAGGGTGCGTAGCAGCTGTTGCCAGCTGTTCAAACCACTCACCAGGCTCACCAAAAGCTCTCCTGACTCGAGCACAGGAAGCACCATGCCCGAGCAGGGAATACGGAACTGGAGCTAAAAAGGTTTGAGTCCTACCCCTAGTTCCACTCGCGGGCTCATTGGGAGGAAACCCATACAGCGGCTCCGCCTTACGGCTATAAGCTGAACGAAAAACACTACACCTCCCCAGCCTGCAGCCTGGATGCTCGACACAATTGCTGAAGACCGCAATCACAACGACCCCCGGCACTTGAGTCCGCGAGCCATCAGCCCCAAGCTCCCGCACACATGCCGTGAATATAACGCCTAAAACCCCAAACCGCGAATTCGAATCATGCTGAAACACCGACCCCAAAGCCTTGTCCAACTGAAGAAATGCCGTGCCCTGAAACCCACCTTTTACCCGTGCTCTTGTCCAGGGTAATCTCATATTCGGAGCCGCCTTGTATTGGGAACGTTCGGTCTCCATTGCCATCACATACCATGCTTCAAAATTTATGGTCTAGCAAGCCACACTGCAGTCGCAATGCGCTTTCCGGGTGGTCCGACACATGGTCTCTGGTAACTCTGGTTATGCTGTTTGTCATAGCTGCTTCCAGCTCGGATTTTTTTGCTGCACCTCGATTGGCACATCCTGTCGATCAAGCCACGTATGGAACAGCAAGCAGCTTACATCCACCACATCCACTGTGTGTGCCTTCAAGCTCTCAAGCTCTCAGAAGACCAACCGAGCCCGAACCCTGAACCGCAATCCCGATTCCCCATGCTTCGAACCCGCCTTCCCGCCAAAACCCGCGTCGTTCTATCTCTGGGCTTATGGGTGAGGATCTTGGGCCCGGGCTCGCTGTGACCTTGGCGGACTTCTCGACCATCCTCGAAAGCTCTGGGGGTTCTCTCACTGAAGCAAAGGGAGCCCTAAAACTAGGGGTACCTTATTCTGGGGTCCTTATAATAAGGATCCTACTAAGACTATTTAGGGTGCTATATTAGGGCCCCCCTGGGAGCCCCGTGGGGGCCCTGGGCCCGGCGGCCGAGGCTTGGGCATCCGCTCTTTCTCCCGGGAGGCTGCAGGCGGCACGGCCATTTCCTGCGGGAACGGAGACTTGGAGACTTGGAGCCAGGAAAAGGAGAGGCAAAGTCTTAAAAAAAAAGTGACTCCACACTGAACTCTGCGTGTAAACACAACACAGCTTCACCTTTCCTTCCGAAACGCTGATGCGATGGATCACAGGTAAGGAGCACGGAAATCATGTATGCCAGAGGCACGATCGACGCCGCAGCATGCAGCATAGCGTAGGAGGCGGGAGGACGAATTGGAAGAAAGGAGCGGAGGAGCCGGAAGATGGAGGGAGGGCGGAGATTGTGGATTCTCGATCATTTCCAACGCCAATTCACAAACGGGCAAAAGGCCCTCGCACTTCATCATCTACGCATCTACGCACTGCAATTCCCCATCAAGCCCCCATGCATCCAAACTCGAAACCGCAAGGCCTAGAATCGTCGACCCCCAACAAAGCCGTCCGTGGCGTCTGCTTTGGTCGGCGACGGTTCCTGCAGATTCATGACCCCTTCCCTGATACAGGCTTAGCAGGCATCCAACTGAAAGCTGCGGACCTTCTTGCTGAAGCCAGTCCCTGCTGCCTGCCTGCCTGCCTGCCAAATTGCCCAGTTACGATACCTGCGTCGGTTTGCCATGAAATTGAAGCTGACCAGCCTGAAACTTAAGCCATTCCCGGGGTGTCCCAAGCGCCCAGAGCTTGCATGCCTAAATCGGAACCACCTGCATAATTTCGACACTCCCCTCAGCCCTAATCGCACTCCAAACTCCTCGCGCCTTCTTCATCGTCGACTTGTTCTCCTCTGCCTCCACGCTGGCATCGTGGGAGCAACAGCTGGAGATGATGCCCATGGCCTCGGGCAGGTTTATTGACATTCCTTGCGCTTTTCGCACCGCGCCCTTCCAACCTCACCATCAACCTTCCTTGCAGTCACATGCTGGTCGGTCGCCTCTCCGCTCCACAGCGGCAGCTGGTAGGAACTTCCCCCCGCCCACACAGCCGCGTTGACGTCAGCCTGGGCTCCCAGCTTCGCGAGGCCGCGGCTGCCACCCGCAGCTGAGGAGCGGGCGCCTCTGCGCTTAGCAACTTGGCTTTTTCAGAAGAAGCTGCTGGACGGCCGCTCATGAAATGCGAGGGGTCAGAGTGGATTATGTCGGCAGCGCGTTAGCGGTAGAAATAGCTATTTCGTCATAGTTGGTGTAGTGCTATAGTGCCACAGTGCTGGCACTAGGACCAGTTCCAGTGCCAGTGCTAGCGCCAGCAGTTGTTGTCGTTGCTGGTGGTGGTCGTGGTGGTGTTGTTGTTGGTGTTGGTGTTAAAGCTGGTGCTGGTGCTGCTGCTGCTGCTGCTGGTGGTGCTGATGCTGGTGCTGGTACTGGTGCCGGCGCTGGGGCTGGGGCTGGTGCTGGGGCTGGTGTTGTTGCTGTCGTTGCTGTCGTTGCTGTCGTTGCTGTGGTGCTGTGGTGCTGTGGTGCTGTGGTGCTGTGGTGCTGTGGTGCTGTGGTGCTGTGGTGCTGTGGTGCTGTGGTGCTGGTGCAGCCGCGACGACTGCGACGACGACTACCACTGCTGCTGCTCCCACTCGTACTCCTACTTCTCCATTCTCCTCCTGCTCCCTCCTACTGCCAGTGCCGTGCTGCCACTTCGAGTAGTACCATCGCGTTGTTTATGCTCTTCACATCGTCAATGTCGTGAGTACAAAGCATGTGCTCAATGCTCTTCATCCATGGAAAAAGGGATGATAACAAAGCCTGTAGGACACTGCGGGCAAGCCTCAGCTCACTCTCACCTTCCGGCCTCCCCAGAGGCGCGGGGGCGTCACGGCGCTTCGAGCCCGAATTGAGGCAGTAATTTCTGAGAACAAATCATAGCTTCAGTGACTTGCTCCTCGAGACATCTCATGGACTCCAAGCTGACCATTACCACTGTCGTGCAGCTCCTTGCCCGACTGGGGATGGGGGGTTTGACTGTCCTATCTGGCTGGTCCTGCTGACGATGCTGATGCACAGGTACGATGCGCAAGACCGACCCTTACAACAAGGGCGTTGGGCTTCGGTGCTTCTGGGCAGGTTGAGGGTTCGGGTTGGAGAGCCTGCCAGACCTGTGAAGTACAATGTCTCGCTGCCACTTCCACCAAATTTGAAGGCGTGTATCCTTGATCATCCTATGAGCCGTGAGAAGTAAGCCACTGTTTTAATTCCAAAGCTATGAGCTGCCAAAAACATGCAAATTCTAGCCATTCCTGACAATTGTCTAAGCCTGCGAAACCGATTCTACTTGGAATTTCTGAGCTCTTCCGCGACACTCCGGCTGTCAGCGCCGAAGAGATCGTTTCCCCAGGTTATCACCGATCCGGTGGATAATATCGCAGCAAAAGCCCCGTAGCTAGCCTGGATCTGCTCGACGTTCCTTAGAAGTCGTTGCACCTTGCTGCTGTCAGCACCACGCTCCGCGTTCCCCCAGGTCACCACTCTCCCGTCCTCCAAAATAGCTGCAAAAGCGCCCACGGAAGCCGCCAACTTCCTCACGGAAGGACGAAGCTTGGGTTGCACAGCCCTGCTGTCGCCACCATTTCCTGCATTTCCCCATGTAACCAAGGACCCATCCATCATCGCTGCAAAAGCGTAGCCAGTCGCTGCGATCTTCTGCACGTTATGCAGTTGCCCTTGTACAGAGGAGGTGTCGCCTCCATGGTCAGCACTGCCCCAGGCCAGGACCGAGCCATCTTGCAGAATGGCCGCAAAAGCTGCATTGGAGGCTTCGAGCTGCGACACACCGACCAACTGATCCTGCACCCTGCTGCTGTCACCGCCCTCAGTACGAGAACCCCAGGTGACCACTGAGCCACACCGAAGAATCGCTGCAAAAGCTCTGTGGGTGGCCCGGAGGCTCTTCACATCCTTCAGTTTTGACTGGACCTCTGAGCTCTCTCCTCCACTGTATGGGTCCCCCCATGTTACGACAGCCCCAGTGTCGAGGACTGCGGCAAAGGCTCCATACGATGCGCAGATCTGCACAACCCCTTGCAGCTGTGCTTGCACGCCACTGCTATCACCACCAGCAAAAGCTCCCCCCCACGTTGTTACCGATCCATCCTCTCGCAGAGCCGCAAAGGACGCAGCAGAGCCCGTGATCTCGCACACGCCCTGCAGTGCCGGCAGCCGGCTCCTTCCGCCACAGAGTGGGTTCCCCCACGTTACTACGGATCCGTCCGACAGAAGGGCAGCGAAGGAGTAGTCCGTGGCGTAGATTTTCTTCACGCCTTGCAGTTGATCCCGAACGCCACTGCAGTCGCCTCCCAAATCATCATCACCCCAGGTTACCACTGATCCGTCGGGCCTTAACAGCGCGAAAGCACCAGTCGTTGAAGCTAGCCTCAGCAAGAACGAACACAAAGCATACAAGGAGCTCAGGAAGTCACTGAGAACAGCAATCGGCACCTGCATGAAACTCAGCTTCTACATCGTCGCAAATACAACCTTCTCAATTCTCGAGGCACGAAGACTGCTGCGCCTCGCCCCATGCCAAGAGGCTGGTCTGAAGGCAAAGCAACGGCCTGCAGCGTGTCTCCCTCCTGAAGGCCTCAATGCGAAGAGCCCATCAACGCATGAAGCCGCTCCGCGGCGAGAACCAGCATACTGATTTGTCGACATACATCTTCAAAGTTGCTCAGAAAGACAAGACATTTGGCTGAAAAGCACATCCCTGACAAGTCAACACACGCACACCTGCGCACATGCGCAGGTGCTTCCAGAAGTGGTAGCTGCTCCTTCCACGACAGCTGCTGCCGAGCAGCCGGTGTCTGCAAGCGTCTTCGCAACTGGTAGCAGGCCACCTGTCTCTTTGTTCACTGCTTGGTTGAGAAGCGAATTTGAGTTACATTTACCCTTCGATATCTCCGGGACCTGGCATTCGCAGAAAATGCGACACTGCAGAATCCAAGCCTTGCAGCATCCCACACCACAGCCCTTAAGAACATCCACAAACTCCAATAGTTTGGAGTTATAACGCAAATTCAGCACTCATATGGATAGCAAGGCCGTGTCAAATCTTGCATGTACCCCTTCTGGTGGCATCCTCTGCAATTACTTGTGCCGAAGCTCCGAACCATGGTATCACCCCAGGATCCACGCCCTCGGCTCCCAACTCAGGAATGCGCGGATTGTCGTTAGACTTTTTACATGTTTGGAAGTCCTCATCCGAAAAGCCGAAAGTCGACTTCAACTTCAACGCCGTGCCAAGGCCACCAGAGGCGACTAGACCAGCTAGGCGCAGCCCAGACCTTCGGGCGTCGCACTGCACAAATCAAGTGGCTCAGGGCTTCGGGGTGGAAGTGGGCCCTGCATGAGAGGAAAGTGGTACGAGGATAGTAGCATAAAGTCCTGTATTACCCGGCAGCCAAGACGCATGTCCTGCGCCAGGCGTTGCAATTCATCAACGGTCGAGTCCAGGTCCGCCGAGATTCGCAGGCTCCTCAATCACGCGCAGAACCACGTTAGCCAAGCAGGACTACCTTAACAATATAGCTGACACTCTCCGACATCGTCTGCGGTTTTTCGCCTAGTGCTGGAGAGCGTCTGACCGCTCAAGAGTGCGACGTACACCGAGATTGACATGGCTCACAGGCACGATGTCGGAGTAATAGCTGCGGTTTCGAGGGTCATGTCGAGGGTGTTGCTTGCAAGGTTCAGGCATGGATGCCCACAAAGCTCTTGCTGCCGCTGCTGCCAACCCTCTACACCGAAGAAAGGCAAAGAAGGTGAATGTCGAGCTCCTCTCAGACGTCAGCTACAACTTTTGAGTTGGCACAGCTTTGCACAAGGCATCAAGCTTGCCCGCACATGTAACACTAGGCAAAAAGATGGCACAGGCAAATGATGCGATGACACAGCATATCGGCATGTTCGGGAGCCGGTTTATTAGATGTATATATATATATATATAAATACAATATTCGGAATACGTCCGTATGGCTGATATTTTGCTAAGTCTCAAAGTCAAACTAGAATATCAGAATTACATTACAATATTCGATGATTCACTTCTTCATATGTATTTACCCAATGTTTTTCTATCGAATACGTCTTAAAAGCTAGTACTAGAGGAACTTCTCTGTTTGTTAGCAACAAGCATTCTTTACAAGCTTAGTTTGTCGGTACTAAAGCATGTCGACATATATCTAAATTGTCGTACATACGAAACTCTTAAACATATCATTCTTTGGATTTTGCTGTCGAGAACTCCATAATTAGTTGTGGGTTCGACGAGTACTTAAGAAATTATGCTCCATACGGATATAAAACCAGAAGTTTGTAGGCAGAATTTGATCTAGGTTCCTACAGAATTGCTAGTGCGGCGTTGGTTCATGCGCGGCCGCCTGCATATCAAATCATCTGTGTGCGTGTGTCATATAATATGAATATACATATATATATATACACATATATATATATATATATATATATACATGCATTTATGCCTGGCGCTACAGTTTCTCGATTGATTGCCGGTGAGCATTTGGCATGTGATGCAGGTCTGTCCATATCCACACTTTTGTTGAGGAAACCAACGGTGCAACTACCACAGCAGAGCCCGTGGAACTTTCAGATTCTTCAGCACTCGGCCTTTTCTTTCACTCGTCTGGCCCGAAGCCTGTAGACTTGTTCCCGAGGCACGGGATGTACCACTCTGTGGCACTTGATTTCGCGGATGTGCGCTCAGATATAATGCATCTACTCCAAGCTGCTGTATCGGCCTGCGGAACGGGAAAGGCTAAGTTTTGTGGATTTCAGCACCCTTGCAAGGCATGACAACATGACAATAATCCGACACACCGGGAACCACTTTTTTTGGGGAAGGTTCGTCATCGCGCACCTTGGGAACACGTCCATGATGTGCTGGCCTGATCTCCGTCACCTGCCCATTCCAGTCAAGTGCAGATCGTGGACATGTCACGGGACATCGAGCTGCGAACTGAGCTGCGGCGTCACTACGAGTGGCGGGGCGGACCAGGGGGGAGCCAGCAGTTGACGATGTTCAGCCAATGTACGCGTGTGCGCGTGCTTGTCACTTTCCCCATTGCACGTGAGCACACTTTCTAGCTGGCAAGCTTGGCACATGGCCAAACCATGAATTCGTCGAAAAACACAAAGAGGAACAAAGGCCCGCCAGCAGCCTTCCTGCACAAGATCCATGCCAGAGGCAAGAGGTCGTTTGCTGCAACTTTGTGCAAGCAAACAGGGCATCGTTTAAAACGATAGTACTTCACTTGATGTAGGTCGTGAACTGCCAGCTTTCCGTCCCCTGTCTCCCAACCTCGCATTCACCCACAGGTCCGGCGGAGATATGCTTGAGAAGGAAGCACTGACCTCCATGAGCATCAAAGAACACGTAGCCATTGCAGTCGTTCCTCAAGTTGAAACACTGGTGTCCACAGGAGCTCGGGGTTCCTTGGATCCCCTGGTACTGTTCAAGCCCTCCGTTCCAAGCCCCGCGACCGTTATAGCAGTTCACGTGCCTCAAAGGGTAGAAATGGTCGAGAACCCAATCCGTGGATCTCGGCTTCTTAACAAACGTATCAAACTGCCAGCTTTCCGTTCCAATCTGCCCAAGATCGCAGTCAGCGATAGGGTCTTGTGATATCCACGACAGCAAGAAGCACTGCCCTCCATGGGCGGAGAAATGAACGTAGCCTTTGCAATGATCCATGTGATAGCAGTTGTGTGCGCAATGGACTGCGTCCCCTTTCTTCCCTTGTTCATGCTCAAGTCCACCGTTAGAAGCACCACGACCAGGGTAGCAGTTCACATGCATTACTTGCCAATACTCCTGCAGGATCTCTCTTTCGTCGCCCCATGAGCTGGAAATCATTTCTTGGCTGGAAGCAGGTTTGCGGACATCTTTCAACATTGAAAACAAATCTTGGGCAAAATGTTCTCACGAGTCGCCCAAGGTTCCGAGGGTCCGCGCCTCAGCCGGCTCGGCTCCCACCTCCTTCGCCTTTGGTGCAAGCGCGTGGTCCCTGTCCTCTGAGAGATGCTCCCCATCTTTCTCGACCTGACACGTCTGGTACAGCTGAGGTGTCGTGGGTGCAAGAACATACTGATACGTTGCGAGCGCGCCAGCAAAGCGGGAATCTACAAGCCTTTTGTAATCCGAGAGCTAAAACGTCCAAGTCCAGCCCAGCAACTGGATGGCTTTGCAAGAGGCAATTCTCCTCAAGGGCAACCACGACCTGAAGGATTGCCAGCCACAGCTTCATCTTCGATATAGAGACGACCATGCTGGTTGCGATACACCGTGATCCGAAATGGCTGCAGACTCGACTTTGGCCTTCGAACTCAAAGAAAGACTTTGGCAAGATCTGCCGGGTCAGGATCCAAGCATCTGGCACTAAGGGACTGTTTAGGTACTGTGAGTCGGGAACAACATCAGCACACAGGCCACTGGAAATCAGTCCGCCTGCATGATTCTCGCCACGCACCGCCGATCTTGGCCCTGGACTACATTCCAGGGATATTTGACTGGAATTGCGGATAACCGAGTACACCGCCACACCGTGCCGTGTTCTCAGGATGAGGAGCTGCCTCATTCTCAATTTTGAATCGATGCCCAGACACATGTTGCATACGATCTGGGTAGCTCACATCAGTCGGAGTGGTTGTTGTAGCACCGCCAGGTTGAGCACTGGGTTGAAGTTTCGTCGCGTGTAGACCGCAATAACTGAAGCCATCCACGGTCTCCTCGAAATGAGGATTTTGCATCTGTGGCCGCGTCATTGGTGCCGTGACAGCGAGGAAGAGAGAGAACGACAAACGGAGAGAGAGGGAGAGGGAGAGGGAGAGGGAGAGGGAGAGGGAGAGGGAGCGAGAGCAAGAGCAAAAGCAAGAGCAAGAGCAAGAGCGAGAGCGAGAGGGAGAGAAGCGAGAGACACAGAGAGGGAGGGAGAGGAAGGGCTTGCCGTAAGCCCTCATCAACTCCAGCCTCCGCCTTCAGGAAGGCTCACAGACGTCTGGCAGGACCTCTCGAAAAGACGAAGAAGCTTGCCCATGTTGGTGTGTGCATAGGGAAGCGAAACCCTTCAACCTCACATCCAACACGTTATCCCCAACCCCTCATACATCTTCAATCACTAAACCATGACCTCTAGTCTCTCACGGTCAGCGCGAATCCGAAGCTTAAAGCGCGGCATGTGTTGGAGACAGCTCTCACAGGCTACTGAGTGGCACGGCTCGACCGCCACTCAGGCAAAAGGATCTCTTTGGAACTGCGAACCACTTCCGGAAGCGAAACTCATTTCTCCTTTGGTTTACAACGCGGTGGCTGATGGCCCCAAACATTGGAAAACCTACATATTGATGGCATCACTTGACTTCGTGCTACTCGCTTCAAGACATCAAGAATCATCAAGACTTGCTCCATGCCTGATGCGCCTGGTTGAGTGGAACCTGTCATGCCGTTGGCCGGCAATATTGGCAATGGTGAATGTTTCGGTTCAGCTGTGCCCGCAGGGGAATCAGTTCCCTAGCTCGGTTTTTCAGATATGCAGGAAGCAAAGCACTCTTGGCACTTGTCTAGATGAACACGAAGTGACCTCATCTACGCTGTGGGCGTGGATGCTGCAACAATGCTGGCACGTCAATGCCGCTTTGCAGCTCAAACTTGAATGCATGCCTGCACTGAGCGTAAGAAGCAAAAATAACTTCCTGTTCAGGCCTCTTTCCGTCATGGGGATCACTCTCTCCGGTCTAGTGTTCAAGCTCCTGCCTCGCGCTCCTGCCGTGCAGTGTCGTGCTCGTGTTGTTTCTTGCCGTCCCAAAGGATGCACCTCGAATGAGAAACAGAGGTCGTGGAGTCGGGGATGCTTTTGACGGGACGGATCTGTACGGCATGCGGACTCAGGGAGATAAGTTCACGCTGACTCTCGCACTCTTAAGCTGGAGTAGGATAGACTCAAGCGTGCGTAGAGACGAGAGTGGCGCAAGGCCTTATCGAGCTCATGCTGGCGACTTGATCTTGTTTTTCTTACCGGAGGAGCCAGCTTCCGCAGGCTCTTTTTGGATCAGCTTTCCGCACTATTTTGCTCGCCACGGAGCAGCATGCCAGCCACGACGCCTCAGCTTTGCGAGAGCAGAGACTTGCTAGACTGCGGTACTACTGCTCACAGTAAACAACAAGAAGACGGATGATGTTGCTATCATAGTCAGCCAGTACTGCTTCAGGAACTATGACATCCTCCCACTAATCTCCTATACTCGTTCTCGAATCTGATGAACACCTCAGTGGCACAAGTCCTCACCTGTCTTCCTGGTGCATCAAAACAAGCATACCAAGCGCACACCTCAAAAACAACCAACTACCGGTGACTACCTCTCGAAGCCCGAAGCCCCAAACCGCCTCGACCTGTACTTACATTGCCCGAAGATCCCATCTGTTCACCCATGCCTCCCGTTGGCTCTCTAGGGTCCTCACAGAAAAACTCTAGACCTTCCACCTCAAAAACCGTACATTCAACATCGAAGCACGGCTCCCCTCCCTTCGATTCGGGACACCCAAGCCGCCCAAGGCGTTCCAGCCCGGGAGGCTCAGGGACGGGAACCGTCCCGAGACCACCAAGGCAGCAGTGAGGACCTGGAGTTGCGATCTACATTGTCCAGACGTACACACCTACCTATCTACGGACGCCTACATGCATGCATACAGCACGCATGCACACATGCACACCAGCAAGCCTTCTTGCCTGCCTGCCTGCCTATGTGGAACTATGTACATACAGATGTACGTACATCCATACATGAGTGTGCGGGTCACATAGACTGGTGTATATGGTGTATACTGCCTACGCTAGCTGACCCAGCTGTGATGTTCCTGGAGGGCAGATACTAGACTTCCACTTTCATGCTCCTAACACTAACAGCAGACTTGTTTATGAGACTGCAAACAGCAAGCTAAAAGGTTGTCACAGGAGGAGCAAGGCCCAAAAGGCAATGTGGTAGCAGGGCTATGCATGAAGGACGACGCACGCACATGTGGCAGCTCAGTCCCCGTCTGTACTTGTAAAGGGCTGCAGCGCGGTATAGGCGAGAACGTAGCCCGCACGCGCATACCTCGAAAGCTCTTGGGGCTTCAGGGCTTGCGAAACTCACCGATCAGTCAAATCCCTGAGCACTCGAATTCCCGAATCATCCAACGCAATCTGGCAAGAAGCTCTGTTCGGCCTGCCCCTTCATCTGTAAAACCTTGCACCCCTTAACACTAGACTTGCCCGGCGGCCGATTCGCCCATGTAATCAAGAAATAGGCAGCCATGCTGTTGAAGAGAATCCAGTACACCCTCGGATGCCCAGCGGACACAGCAGATCCGACTCGCCACAGGTTAGGGGCTGTAAGGATTCTCCATGGGTGATACCTATGGCACCAACAGCAACAACGATCATAGTAACAACAATAACACCTGCTCACAAGTCATGGGCACACATATCCTTTGACGATGATCGCTGCAGAAACTGAGACATGACGAGACGTGGGGCGTAGCGAAGTCTTCTATGCAAGGCTGCTGCACCACACATGCCTGCAGATAACACGGACTCGTGACTTGCAGACAATATAAACTGTGACAGACAGACAAGCAAGAATAACAACCAAGAATAATGCTGATACGTGTCTAGGGACCATTGATGCCATAACCGTCAATTGAAACCCAGTGGGATTCTCGTGTAAACTTGTGCTCAAGGACTTGGCTCTGCTTGTACTACAAGTAGTATGGCAGAAGTGCTGCATCCTTGCCATGCCTATGCCTCGCACCTGCTTGCGGTAAAGGGACGTGCAGCTGGTCGGCACGGTGACTTGGTCGGCTAGTTCCGCTTGGTTTTGGCGGGGAATGTGCAAAACCTGAACCATGTCAAGCGTCAATGGCAAAACGGCCTCTGGCGGGACTGACCATGCGGTGCAGGAAGTGGGTTTTGTGCCTGGGTTTGGGCTTCGTCAAGGAGACTCGGCTTCGGATGCCTCATGCTCATATGCCAGTGTAGGAAGCAACACATGACTTCTTGCCACGAATAGGAGCACCCGATTTAGTTTGGCCACTCCGTTTGTCTGCTCGACTTGCTTTGAAGGGGCTTTGCTAGTCTGACTGTTACTGCATGACTGTTTATGTCGGCACTGCCATTATGATTCTTTGCACTGAAGCTGTTGCCGGGACGAGCTGCGAGTACTTTCCCAGTGTATGCCTTTGCGCCCTACCCCCATGCTCACTGCCACTGACCGTCATAAATCAATTGGAGTTCATCGAGGGGTCTGCATCAGAAAGCAGCTCGCACCCGCTTCTTTTAAAGTGTCGCAAAAGCTGTATTGGCATTACCCTTTGCAAGGTCTTGGGGATGCCGGAACTCAAGATGACAACGCCTGGGTGGCCTCACCCGAAACCCTCGCAGTCATTTCCGCAAAATGCGGATCACGTTCCACAGCCCCAAAAACTGATTCTCGTTAAAGCTGAAAATAGATCGTGTAAACCTGGATGCGTTTGAAACGACCGGCCGCCTCTTGCCAACTGGCACCCTCTGTCCAGGAACGCTATTTGGCACCGCGGCACCAGGAACCGAAGAGAGGACCGCTGTATCAGAAAACCACAGCCTACGTCCCGCCGGACGCCCACTGGCAGGAACACAACCTTTGCACCCGCGACATCCCAACCCACAAACGAAAGCCCGAAGCATGGTAGCATCCACTGCACCTTGCTCCTGCTGATGCGCACATGTCTTGAGATTCTGCTCCTTGTCTCCATTCTCTACGACCCTAAACCTTCGGGCTTCAGCATACGTCATGCTTGTCGCATGTTGAGTTAGGGCATGAGGCTTCCATGGTTTACGACACTAAACGTGTCAATGCTGCAATGCTGAACCGTCGAGAGGCCGCACTGCGCGGTGCTGCCCTCGTTCGGCGGGCACACGAATTCGATGAACCAGCACTGAGTGTTCAGACCTTTAGGCAAGAGAGCCTAATTTCCGAGGCTCTTGGCAGGAAGGCTTTGGGTCCAGTGGAGACAGCTAGATGTTGTGGCTCAGCTACCTCTGTGCTCAGGTGAAAGACTCGGGGCCACAACTGTTTTGCACCGACACGTCCATGCAGGTCGAGACTGAAGCGTCTTACTTCGACAGACTCGCGGCAGAGGGCGACATGTACAGAATGAGCTCCTTGCTGCCTGCGGCGATCGCCATCATGACAGAAGCATTGATGTAGGACCTGAGGTGGTGTAGCTGTAGTGGCATCTGAGAGCACACAAGTGTTCATTGGCCGCTAGCAGCTGGTGTGCGATCTCGCCCAACAGTTCCACATTAGTTCTCAACCGGCAGGGGTTTCTCGTTCCTTGCTCTTCTTACAGAAACTTTCCGAATCTGTCTTCTCACATTGTGTCTCAGGGCCCTCTAGACGCAGAGAAGAACGACAAACTGTCTCAAGTGCACAATCGTGGCAACCAGGAACTTGAAGCTGAGTCGACCGGCAGCTCTCTTTGCTGCAACAGATGGGAAGACGAGCCCGGCATGCGCGGACGGGCCGGCGTCCTGTGATTCTGACACCCACCTCTGGGGTCCGAACCACGCTGTTATCGACAGCGATGGATACCTCTGCGAAGCAGCGTTTGGTCTGCCTCTGGGATCCTTTAAGCAACACACAAATTCACCGACCGCGCACCTGTCCATGGCGAACTTTCCAAGGATGACCTGGCTCCGACGGGGAAAGAAAACGAGTAGACAATCTCCAGGATGGCTGTGTGCCGGACGTAGAGCGACGTGCCGAGGCAGTTCAGCAGAAGCCTTCAAGGGAAGGGAAGGGAAGGCAACTGGATCTGCGGGGCCAGACTACCCATGTCGTGGCCACGAACTCTGGGACCCTCCCTCCTCTTGAATTCAATCTGAGCCAACATGCGGTCCAAGAAACAAGATGTTGCCCGCAAAGCCAGGGCTATGAACAGGCTGACCGTAACAGATCATGAATGCACCTCTCATGGGACAGACCCCCACGTGAAGAGCAACGCTGGATGTGGAACTCGTGAAATGCGCACTTGACGCTCGCAGGGGCCCTGGATTCTTTCACAACGAAGTACAACGAACGAGCCCAGTCCACGAAACTTCCCTCCCTTCAGCAACAGCCATCCCATGATACCTCCCAGAAAGGAGATGGCGATGCCCAGCGTCTTCAAAAGCCTCGATGGATGCAGGTGGATTTGACAGGGACCTCCTTGAGGAGCCATCTCAGCCCAACCCATCCGCGCTTCGAGAAAGAGTGGGTGTTAGAGAGTGTGGGAGCTCGGATCTTGCGGCACGAAGTCTGCAGAGTCTGCAAAGTATACAAGCGAACGAACCCTCTGCCAAACCTGGCAACTGCATAACACAATTGGAACCTCGACTCAAGCTGCAACGCTGCGAACCCCCACATTCTAAAAACAGTGCAAATTTCTTGCTCACGCCGCAAGCCGCAACAAAGACAGCGTGTCATGGTATGTTCTATTGACCTGTGGTGGTGTATCAGAGACTCTCGTTTCGTATTGAAGTTACAGAATGCAAGCAACAGCGAATGACACGATTACGGTTCTGCACAATGCATCGTCGTATAACTCACGACGCTAGTGTGACTGTCAGCGGATTGCGGCAGAGCGGCGAAGCCCCTTCCCAGCCTAGCGCCAGGCTGATCGACAACGTGAAAATGGGCTGACTGCACTGCCTCAGGTTTTGGATGTGCACTTGTAGCTGGTATTGGGCAAGCACTGCTGGCGAGCATTGAAACCCTAGCAGAGAGCATTGGCTTGCGAACATCGAACTCCTGTGCCGGTCTGCACTGAGGGCTCGGTATGTCATGACCCCGCGCCGATCTCTGTTGGACTCTTGAGCACATGCTTGCTTGGTCTGTCACTGGGGACAGGTCAAGTCTGCTAAGTTGCACACCAGGCACTGCTTATGACGGGGCCGGCCAGCTTGTCGCCTGCGAGAAGAGGCTTTTCTCATAGTTCTTTGCAGATCTGCTGGCACCCCACCCCTCTGTCACCCCACCCCTCTGTCACCCTGGCCCGTAAGACAAATCCAGGCTTTGATGTTTCGCTTACTTGGCTCTGTCTACAAGTGGCAGGATTCCGCAATTGGGCTCAGGCTCATGACTTCAATTGACCATCATGCTGCATGTAATCTCAGTTGCTTTGACAGCTTCTCCTGTGAACGTGCTCTAACACACGCTGCTCCGATCTATGTCCCAGACCGATGCAAGCAAAGCAAAGTTTCGCGCATAAACCAGGACAAGGCACCGATGATGAAGAAGGCTTGGTTCTACGAACGCGTGGGCTTGCGTGGACTTCGGCAGGAAGGTGACAAGGAAATTGTCCGTTTGTTTCGCTTGTAGAGTTGGTTTAACTCGAGCCTGTCACAGGAAACTGTGCACTTCAACAAGACGAGGCTGGTTCACATCCCCACTGACTGCATGTCTTTTGTAAAGACTACATACAGACAGACAAACACCGCATGTTTCAATCTGGTAGATGTGGGACTTGCTTCGATTTTTGTACTAAGCTCTCAGAGGTTGTGCTGCGCGGTGTCGAGATTTGGGTTCCTGATTTCGGCAGTCCGGCGACAGAAGCCTCCTTCTAGGCTGCGGTCGGGCCGCCCGGTGAAGAGCACCACATCGCTGCGAAGAGGTGCCAATGCCCCGTCCAGGCACAACGCCTTGGCAACATCGGCAATCTGTCGGGCGGGGTTTGGGGGTTGGCTCGGCAAGAACACCCTGATTCCTGAAAACCTTGGTTGTTGGAGCTTGTACCACCTTGAGCCCCTTGCAGACCTGAGGAGATGTAGTAGCCAAGCAGGTTCCAGAGACTAGACGTTGCGCATGATGGAGGCTTGCCGGATATCATGGATGGACGTCGCACCCCCGGCATCCTTTCAGAAGCTTCAAAGGACTCTTCTGTGCCAGGCCACCAGGGCCAGCAGTAGAGGCCCGGCAACGGCCTCCCGGATCCTTGGATGCGCTACGCATGCGACAGTCGACAAATGCCGACGGGGCCAAAAGCACAGCCAGCGATCTCGCTCCTTCGACCTCTAAGAGCTCGGCAAAGCGAAAAGTAAAGGGTTGAAGCTTGCCACACCCAGCTTTCCGACCACGGAGCCGCCTCCCAGTCCCGGTCACGATCCGAAACTGCGATTCCACAAGCTCTCGCGTTCGAACGCCGTACCGGGTGACCAGGCTGGCGTGCTTCGGGCCAAGCCGGGAAAGGAAAGCGTCAAGACTCGAACTTCAGCTGCGGTTGGAGTACGACGTTTTATGGAAGGATGTGACTGTGTTGACCATCTTTTTCAGGTCAGAGGCTGTTGTCTGCCTTCCAGACAAAGGAGCTTCAAGCTGCCGGCGCCTCCGAACATCACTTGGGCTGCGAGCAGTGCCGCGTGTACCTATGCGATGCGAGCATGCGACGAATCTGGCTAGTGCTGTTGGAGATGCTGCATACTGCAAAGATCAAACCATGGCTTCTCTTGCCACATGCTGAAATATGAAGCGAAATGCCAAGCGGGGGTCACTCGGCAAGCTGACGGTCGGCGCACGCCCATCATGGCAATCGCCGGCTGGGTCGCTGAGCAGGATATTCCCGCTGCACGGCTGCAATCCTGAGGTAACATTGGCAGCCTTTCGACCCCAGCTATGGCAGAACTCCTTTGAGCCAAAGGCGACATGTGTCAGCATCCACTGAGGGAATGTGGCAAGGTGCGAAGTGTTGGTCCGATTGAACTTTCCACGAGCACACGGCGAAGGAGCGCATAAGAAGTCTCACCTCGTGCTATGCAGCATCTTCCGCAATGCCAGCAGCAAAATTGTCTGTGGTCATGGCACAACAGAAACCAACAGAAAAGCAGCCCATCTCGACCGTGTTGTTTTCTTCTCTGCACCAAGACGCTGCGGGAATGCTCCAACCAGTACTTTTGAATCTTCCTAGGGGTAGTGTTGCCTTCTGCACTGGAAATGCGGCGGCTGTGTACTTCAAGGGGTTGGGATGATGCTTCCTGCACATGAGCGCCCGATGCTTGAAAAGCCTGCTCAGTAGACGATGCCCCTGCATTGGCAGCACGTGCATCCATGCCAGGCTAGCAAAGCAATTCTGTCGAAAATGAAGCGAAAGGCAGGAAGGGGAGCACAGCACAGCCGCGCCTTTGGACATGGTTGGTGCCACGCTTGCCGATGTCGTAAGGATACTGCAGGGAAAGGTTTCACATGCTCAAGGCTGAAGGCTTCGGGATGTCTTGGGTCCCTCTGAGATCCAGCTGTCTGGGTACATCCAACCCTGCTGAGTGCTTGGTTAAGCAGGTATTGGCAGCCCCACACACCCATAGTTAGAAGTGCCTCCGGTAGGTAAGTTTCTACCTCCGGTTCAGACGGAGGCGACCATTTTGTTACATCCTCTTCATGAACATCCGAACCTTGTTGCATGCTACCGTATGCAGTTGACAGGGGCATGCTCTGGCAATGGCACAGCAGCTTAGCCAAAAAGGCCTCTTCCAAATCAAACCTTCTTCGACCTCCGGAAGAAGTGCTTGACATGCCCGCACCTTGTGCAGAGGTCTCTTGAACAGCCTGGCTGTGGCAGGTTGTAAACTGTGTGGGTGGGGCACTTGCTGTGAGGCTTTGTGCAAGCACATATTCACACATACCAGGAGAGGTCGGCAATCGCGACCTCTACAACCGTTGCTACATTGTAAGACTTCTTACGGCTAGTCATAGAACGCTGCGCCTGCTTGGAGTCAAGCATGCCGGAAAGACTTGTGCACGCTGTCCTCGCCATCGTCGTTCCACTGTCCAGGCAGCATGTCTTCTGGAACCCTGGGCGGCAGATTTTTGAGAGGAAAGCAAGCACGTCCAGCACCTTCGACCGGAGCCTTGACCTGCTTCTCGAACGCGAGGACGTGTGTTCGAAATGTTCGACAACAAATTCGCAAGACATAAGCTTGCCCCATGAACCCCGTTGCATTCCTCTGCTCGTAATGCCGTTAAGTTGTCGAGGTTCGAGCCTTGAGCCCCCCCCGCCCTCGCGAATCCTTGCTGCAACCCCTGGAGCGTCCCAAGACATCGTAGGCTGCCCCGCATCAGGTGCCAACCCTTCATTCGGTACTTCTTGTTCATCTTCAGCTCCTGGCAGCTGGAGCACATCTCTCAGCTTCAAGCGGCTGGCCGTGAGCATGTCAAGGCTCTTCGAGCCTTGAAGATGGCCATCGGGTCAGCTTTGCGAAAGCAGGCAGGCCCAGGCAACGGTACACTCACACGGTCTGGCGAAGTCTGAACCCTCGAAGTTTCCCAAGCAAGATGGCACCTGCTTGGAAGGCAGCTTCTTAATTTCAGCCTGGGGCCAGGTGAAAGCAACTCGAGAAAGATGTTAACTCTCAGATTTGCCAAGACCCTCTGGGCGACTCGACATGCTTTTGGATGTTGCGGAGAACAGATTAGAGGGCAAGCAGAGCAAAGAGACGTCTTGACGCAGACCAATAACCCAGCAACCCCATGGGAATAGCAGCAGGAGTGGTCGAGTCGGTGTTGTCGGTGTCGTGGTTGGGGTCGTCGGTCGTTGCGGCTGCTGCTGGTGACACCCCGGCCGCAGCGTTTGTTGTCGCGGCCGCGGTTGCAGTTCTCGTCACTAGCGTTGTTGGCGCCGTCTTCGTACTTGACATCCGCAAACCGGGCTCAAGACTCCGCAAGAAAGGAACCTGCCGAATTCCTGTGAATACCCCAGCCGATACGATTCAAGCTATTGACTCGTGCCTGGCATACTCTGACAAAACCAGGAACACAGTAGCGGAGCACCCTCCGAGTCATCAGCTATGGATCACAACCCCGGAAAAGCCAAGGATCATTGGGAACGTGCCTCGGCTTCCGAAGCCTTGTCCAGTTCCTCCGTCATCATGTGGCCCTGAACACAGCGCTGCTTTCGGCGGCTCAGGCTCGCAACCATCCTACACACAGAGTACTCACTCGACTGTGCTCGGCGAACCCAGCAACTAGAACATTGTCACTCTCCACTGTGACTGTGAGCAGCAGCTTCGTCGGCAGTAGTAGTCACAACGGTGTGAGTGCTACCAGGACATGAAGATGGGCACCGAAGTGCAGGACCAAAAGGATGCGAAGATGTTCGTGGAGATACTCGTCAGCATGGCGAAAAAACGTGCTGATGATCCAATGACCGAGATGGTGACAATCATGATGACGAGATTTTCAGCTGCTGACGGCAATAAGTCGCACAGAATACGATGTGGGACTGCCGCGATTGGCTTTGGCCCCGTGCATTCGATCATCTGCTTGCTTAACTGCCTAAGAGTTAGTGCGAACACTCAGTGGAATCATGCCCATGACTCAGCCTAGCTGTGGCGGCTTGGTGGCCCTCCTCCCCCTCCACACCGCAAGTGCTGTGGCTGTTACTGCTACGACGGCGACTGCCACCGCTACACGACTACGACCACTACCATTAATACCAATAAAGACGCCACTAACGATTACTAGAAGTACTATTGCTCGAGACTCGGACGAGCTTGGGACCGCTGAAGGGCACGGGCTCCGTGAGTCCCATACCTTGGTGCCACTGATGTCTATGTCGCATGATCTCGTGCGCCGCGTGCATGATTTCAACCGATACTGCTGCTGTTGCTACAGCCGCTATGTCATTGCGACGACTATCATGAGTGATGTGAGCCAGCACATTCCTGTGATTGCCACCTTGCCTGTACTTGTAGTCTTGCTGATGACTGTTGTACTTTGAAACTGTCCCGACCACCATGACCGTTCCTGTTCATCTAATTTGTTATCCTGTCGCTACAGCGTAGTGTTGTTTCTATCATCGCCAGTACTTCACCTGATTTCAGAGCGGGGGGTATGTGAGCTGAAATTTAAGCCTCTGCGTTTGGGAGTGGGGCTCTGGGAAGGCGCAGCTGGTCAACTACAAGACTACACAAGAGAGCATCTGAAATGGCTTGGATTCCTGCAGGACTGGTGGTGAGTTACATCCACTTCTTCTGAAAGCTGAAGATCCTGCTGACTATGACCATGAAGGCAAACACGAAGACTGCGTGAAGACGTCTGCAAGGAAACAAGCCGTGGAACTCTCAAGATGAGCCTTCAATATCAGAGACTCGAGAATGCTTGATTTACGCCTGTGCTCCAGGTGTGACGGAAAGCCACAGGCGACGAACTCCAAGAAGCAGCAGCTAGGGAGACAAACGAAAACGTGTGGAACTTGTGAGTGGGAGCTTCTGAAGCGGGAGCGGTAGGTTGGGCCGAAGATGAAGGTTCTTCTGATTCAGGTTCATCTTCGGTTTCAATAAAATATTCATATTCATACACCTAGCTGTGACTATGAGACTAGAACTTTCGCTCAACTGTTTCCAAGAGAGTTAAAGCCCTTAATGAATGTTTTTGAAGCTGCCGTAGCGAAACCCTGGTTTCGCAGGAAAGTAAGACGAGCAAGAAAGTTCGGTTTCAACATGCACTCTTCAGCGATTAGGCTTTAGCCTTCCCATAGCATCCCGCCCTCAGACACTACCCGAGCCCCCAACGCCGGCCCTCTGTGCGCATCCACTGCTTCCACGCATCTTCGAAGGCCCTCAGAACAGACATCGATAGGCGGTGCAGGGTCTCGAGTGCAAAGTCGGTGAGGATTCCGCCACCCGGTTTTCTTTGGGCATGAGCACACTTTCTAGCTGGCAAGCTTGGCACATGGCCAAACCATGAATTCGTCGAAAAACACAAAGAGGAACAAAGGCCCGCCAGCAGCCTTCCTGCACAAGATCCATGCCAGAGGCAAGAGGTCGTTTGCTGCAACTTTGTGCAAGCAAACAGGGCATCGTTTAAAACGATAGTACTTCACTTGATGTAGGTCGTGAACTGCCAGCTTTCCGTCCCCTGTCTCCCAACCTCGCATTCACCCACAGGTCCGGCGGAGATATGCTTGAGAAGGAAGCACTGACCTCCATGAGCATCAAAGAACACGTAGCCATTGCAGTCGTTCCTCAAGTTGAAACACTGGTGTCCACAGGAGCTCGGGGTTCCTTGGATCCCCTGGTACTGTTCAAGCCCTCCGTTCCAAGCCCCGCGACCGTTATAGCAGTTCACGTGCCTCAAAGGGTAGAAATGGTCGAGAACCCAATCCGTGGATCTCGGCTTCTTAACAAACGTATCAAACTGCCAGCTTTCCGTTCCAATCTGCCCAAGATCGCAGTCAGCGATAGGGTCTTGTGATATCCACGACAGCAAGAAGCACTGCCCTCCATGGGCGGAGAAATGAACGTAGCCTTTGCAATGATCCATGTGATAGCAGTTGTGTGCGCAATGGACTGCGTCCCCTTTCTTCCCTTGTTCATGCTCAAGTCCACCGTTAGAAGCACCACGACCAGGGTAGCAGTTCACATGCATTACTTGCCAATACTCCTGCAGGATCTCTCTTTCGTCGCCCCATGAGCTGGAAATCATTTCTTGGCTGGAAGCAGGTTTGCGGACATCTTTCAACATTGAAAACAAATCTTGGGCAAAATGTTCTCACGAGTCGCCCAAGGTTCCGAGGGTCCGCGCCTCAGCCGGCTCGGCTCCCACCTCCTTCGCCTTTGGTGCAAGCGCGTGGTCCCTGTCCTCTGAGAGATGCTCCCCATCTTTCTCGACCTGACACGTCTGGTACAGCTGAGGTGTCGTGGGTGCAAGAACATACTGATACGTTGCGAGCGCGCCAGCAAAGCGGGAATCTACAAGCCTTTTGTAATCCGAGAGCTAAAACGTCCAAGTCCAGCCCAGCAACTGGATGGCTTTGCAAGAGGCAATTCTCCTCAAGGGCAACCACGACCTGAAGGATTGCCAGCCACAGCTTCATCTTCGATATAGAGACGACCATGCTGGTTGCGATACACCGTGATCCGAAATGGCTGCAGACTCGACTTTGGCCTTCGAACTCAAAGAAAGACTTTGGCAAGATCTGCCGGGTCAGGATCCAAGCATCTGGCACTAAGGGACTGTTTAGGTACTGTGAGTCGGGAACAACATCAGCACACAGGCCACTGGAAATCAGTCCGCCTGCATGATTCTCGCCACGCACCGCCGATCTTGGCCCTGGACTACATTCCAGGGATATTTGACTCGAATTGCGGATAACCGAGTACACCGCCACACCGTGCCGTGTTCTCAGGATGAGGAGCTGCCTCATTCTCAATTTTGAATCGATGCCCAGACACATGTTGCATACGATCTGGGTAGCTCACATCAGTCGGAGTGGTTGTTGTAGCACCGCCAGGTTGAGCACTGGGTTGAAGTTTCGTCGCGTGTAGACCGCAATAACTGAAGCCATCCACGGTCTCCTCGAAATGAGGATTTTGCATCTGTGGCCGCGTCATTGGTGCCTTGACAGCGAGGAAGAGAGAGAACGACAAACGGAGAGAGAGGGAGAGGGAGAGGGAGAGGGAGAGGGAGAGGGAGAGGGAGCGAGAGCAAGAGCAAAAGCAAGAGCAAGAGCAAGAGCGAGAGCGAGAGGGAGAGAAGCGAGAGGCACAGAGAGGGAGGGAGAGGAAGGGCTTGCCGTAAGCCCTCATCAACTCCAGCCTCCGCCTTCAGGAAGGCTCACAGACGTCTGGCAGGACTTCTCGAAAAGACGAAGAAGCTTGCCCATGTTGGTGTGTGCATAGGGAAGCGAAACCCTTCAACCTCACATCCAACACGTTATCCCCAACCCCTCATACATCTTCAATCACTAAACCATGACCTCTAGTCTCTCACGGTCAGCGCGAATCCGAAGCTTAAAGCACGGCATGTGTTGGAGACAGCTCTCACAGGCTACTGAGTGGCACGGCTCGACCGCCACTCAGGCAAAAGGATCTCTTTGGAACTGCGAACCACTTCCGGAAGCGAAACTCATTTCTCCTTTGGTTTACAACGCGGTGGCTGATGGCCCCAAACATTGGAAAACCTACATATTGATGGCATCACTTGACTTCGTGCTACTCGCTTCAAGACATCAAGAATCATCAAGACTTGCTCCATGCCTGATGCGCCTGGTTGAGTGGAACCTGTCATGCCGTTGGCCGGCAATATTGGCAATGGTGAATGTTTCGGTTCAGCTGTGCCCGCAGGGGAATCAGTTCCCTAGCTCGGTTTTTCAGATATGCAGGAAGCAAAGCACTCTTGGCACTTGTCTAGATGAACACGAAGTGACCTCATCTACGCTGTGGGCGTGGATGCTGCAACAATGCTGGCACGTCAATGCCGCTTTGCAGCTCAAACTTGAATGCATGCCTGCACTGAGCGTAAGAAGCAAAAATAACTTCCTGTTCAGGCCTCTTTCCGTCATGGGGATCACTCTCTCCGGTCTAGTGTTCAAGCTCCTGCCTCGCGCTCCTGCCGTGCAGTGTCGTGCTCGTGTTGTTTCTTGCCGTCCCAAAGGATGCACCTCGAATGAGAAACAGAGGTCGTGGAGTCGGGGATGCTTTTGACGGGACGGATCTGTACGGCATGCGGACTCAGGGAGATAAGTTCACGCTGACTCTCGCACTCTTAAGCTGGAGTAGGATAGACTCAAGCGTGCGTAGAGACGAGAGTGGCGCAAGGCCTTATCGAGCTCATGCTGGCGACTTGATCTTGTTTTTCTTACCGGAGGAGCCAGCTTCCGCAGGCTCTTTTTGGATCAGCTTTCCGCACTATTTTGCTCGCCACGGAGCAGCATGCCAGCCACGACGCCTCAGCTTTGCGAGAGCAGAGACTTGCTAGACTGCGGTACTACTGCTCACAGTAAACAACAAGAAGACGGATGATGTTGCTATCATAGTCAGCCAGTACTGCTTCAGGAACTATGACATCCTCCCACTAATCTCCTATACTCGTTCTCGAATCTGATGAACACCTCAGTGGCACAAGTCCTCACCTGTCTTCCTGGTGCATCAAAACAAGCATACCAAGCGCACACCTCAAAAACAACCAACTACCGGTGACTACCTCTCGAAGCCCGAAGCCCCAAACCGCCTCGACCTGTACTTACATTGCCCGAAGATCCCATCTGTTCACCCATGCCTCCCGTTGGCTCTCTAGGGTCCTCACAGAAAAACTCTAGACCTTCCACCTCAAAAACCGTACATTCAACATCGAAGCACGGCTCCCCTCCCTTCGATTCGGGACACCCAAGCCGCCCAAGGCGTTCCAGCCCGGGAGGCTCAGGGACGGGAACCGTCCCGAGACCACCAAGGCAGCAGTGAGGACCTGGAGTTGCGATCTACATTGTCCAGACGTACACACCTACCTATCTACGGACGCCTACATGCATGCATACAGCACGCATGCACACATGCACACCAGCAAGCCTTCTTGCCTGCCTGCCTGCCTATGTGGAACTATGTACATACAGATGTACGTACATCCATACATGAGTGTGCGGGTCACATAGACTGGTGTATATGGTGTATACTGCCTACGCTAGCTGACCCAGCTGTGATGTTCCTGGAGGGCAGATACTAGACTTCCACTTTCATGCTCCTAACACTAACAGCAGACTTGTTTATGAGACTGCAAACAGCAAGCTAAAAGGTTGTCACAGGAGGAGCAAGGCCCAAAAGGCAATGTGGTAGCAGGGCTATGCATGAAGGACGACGCACGCACATGTGGCAGCTCAGTCCCCGTCTGTACTTGTAAAGGGCTGCAGCGCGGTATAGGCGAGAACGTAGCCCGCACGCGCATACCTCGAAAGCTCTTGGGGCTTCAGGGCTTGCGAAACTCACCGATCAGTCAAATCCCTGAGCACTCGAATTCCCGAATCATCCAACGCAATCTGGCAAGAAGCTCTGTTCGGCCTGCCCCTTCATCTGTAAAACCTTGCACCCCTTAACACTAGACTTGCCCGGCGGCCGATTCGCCCATGTAATCAAGAAATAGGCAGCCATGCTGTTGAAGAGAATCCAGTACACCCTCGGATGCCCAGCGGACACAGCAGATCCGACTCGCCACAGGTTAGGGGCTGTAAGGATTCTCCATGGGTGATACCTATGGCACCAACAGCAACAACGATCATAGTAACAACAATAACACCTGCTCACAAGTCATGGGCACACATATCCTTTGACGATGATCGCTGCAGAAACTGAGACATGACGAGACGTGGGGCGTAGCGAAGTCTTCTATGCAAGGCTGCTGCACCACACATGCCTGCAGATAACACGGACTCGTGACTTGCAGACAATATAAACTGTGACAGACAGACAAGCAAGAATAACAACCAAGAATAATGCTGATACGTGTCTAGGGACCATTGATGCCATAACCGTCAATTGAAACCCAGTGGGATTCTCGTGTAAACTTGTGCTCAAGGACTTGGCTCTGCTTGTACTACAAGTAGTATGGCAGAAGTGCTGCATCCTTGCCATGCCTATGCCTCGCACCTGCTTGCGGTAAAGGGACGTGCAGCTGGTCGGCACGGTGACTTGGTCGGCTAGTTCCGCTTGGTTTTGGCGGGGAATGTGCAAAACCTGAACCATGTCAAGCGTCAATGGCAAAACGGCCTCTGGCGGGACTGACCATGCGGTGCAGGAAGTGGGTTTTGTGCCTGGGTTTGGGCTTCGTCAAGGAGACTCGGCTTCGGATGCCTCATGCTCATATGCCAGTGTAGGAAGCAACACATAACTTCTTGCCACGAATAGGAGCACCCGATTTAGTTTGGCCACTCCGTTTGTCTGCTCGACTTGCTTTGAAGGGGCTTTGCTAGTCTGACTGTTACTGCATGACTGTTTATGTCGGCACTGCCATTATGATTCTTTGCACTGAAGCTGTTGCCGGGACGAGCTGCGAGTACTTTCCCAGTGTATGCCTTTGCGCCCTACCCCCATGCTCACTGCCACTGACCGTCATAAATCAATTGGAGTTCATCGAGGGGTCTGCATCAGAAAGCAGCTCGCACCCGCTTCTTTTAAAGTGTCGCAAAAGCTGTATTGGCATTACCCTTTGCAAGGTCTTGGGGATGCCGGAACTCAAGATGACAACGCCTGGGTGGCCTCACCCGAAACCCTCGCAGTCATTTCCGCAAAATGCGGATCACGTTCCACAGCCCCAAAAACTGATTCTCCACAGCCGAGTGAGACTCCTTGGTCCTTGGAGCTGCTGAACCATGTTAAAGCTGAAAATAGATCGTGTAAACCTGGATGCGTTTCAAACGACCGGCCGCCTCTTGCCAACTGGCACCCTCTGTCCAGGAACTCTATTTGGCACCGCGGCACCAGGAACCGAAGAGAGGACCGCTGTATCAGAAAACCACAGCCTACGTCCCGCCGGACGCCCACTGGCAGGAACACAACCTTTGCACCCGCGACATCCCAACCCACAAACGAAAGCCCGAAGCATGGTAGCATCCACTGCACCTTGCTCCTGCTGATGCGCACATGTCTTGAGATTCTGCTCCTTGTCTCCATTCTCTACGACCCTAAACCTTCGGGCTTCAGCATACGTCATGCTTGTCGCATGTTGAGTTAGGGCATGAGGCTTCCATGGTTTACGACACTAAACGTGTCAATGCTGCAATGCTGAACCGTCGAGAGGCCGCACTGCGCGGTGCTGCCCTCGTTCGGCGGGCACACGAATTCGATGAACCAGCACTGAGTGTTCAGACCTTTAGGCAAGAGAGCCTAATTTCCGAGGCTCTTGGCAGGAAGGCTTTGGGTCCAGTGGAGACAGCTAGATGTTGTGGCTCAGCTACCTCTGTGCTCAGGTGAAAGACTCGGGGCCACAACTGTTTTGCACCGACACGTCCATGCAGGTCGAGACTGAAGCGTCTTACTTCGACAGACTCGCGGCAGAGGGCGACATGTACAGAATGAGCTCCTTGCTGCCTGCGGCGATCGCCATCATGACAGAAGCATTGATGTAGGACCTGAGGTGGTGTAGCTGTAGTGGCATCTGAGAGCACACAAGTGTTCATTGGCCGCTAGCAGCTGGTGTGCGATCTCGCCCAACAGTTCCACATTAGTTCTCAACCGGCAGGGGTTTCTCGTTCCTTGCTCTTCTTACAGAAACTTTCCGAATCTGTCTTCTCACATTGTGTCTCAGGGCCCTCTAGACGCAGAGAAGAACGACAAACTGTCTCAAGTGCACAATCGTGGCAACCAGGAACTTGAAGCTGAGTCGACCGGCAGCTCTCTTTGCTGCAACAGATGGGAAGACGAGCCCGGCATGCGCGGACGGGCCGGCGTCCTGTGATTCTGACACCCACCTCTGGGGCCCGAACCACGCTGTTATCGACAGCGATGGATACCTCTGCGAAGCAGCGTTTGGTCTGCCTCTGGGATCCTTTAAGCAACACACAAATTCACCGACCGCGCACCTGTCCATGGCGAACTTTCCAAGGATGACCTGGCTCCGACGGGGAAAGAAAACGAGTAGACAATCTCCAGGATGGCTGTGTGCCGGACGTAGAGCGACGTGCCGAGGCAGTTCAGCAGAAGCCTTCAAGGGAAGGGAAGGGAAGGCAACTGGATCTGCGGGGCCAGACTACCCATGTCGTGGCCACGAACTCTGGGACCCTCCCTCCTCTTGAATTCAATCTGAGCCAACATGCGGTCCAAGAAACAAGATGTTGCCCGCAAAGCCAGGGCTATGAACAGGCTGACCGTAACAGATCATGAATGCACCTCTCATGGGACAGACCCCCACGTGAAGAGCAACGCTGGATGTGGAACTCGTGAAATGCGCACTTGACGCTCGCAGGGGCCCTGGATTCTTTCACAACGAAGTACAACGAACGAGCCCAGTCCACGAAACTTCCCTCCCTTCAGCAACAGCCATCCCATGATACCTCCCAGAAAGGAGATGGCGATGCCCAGCGTCTTCAAAAGCCTCGATGGATGCAGGTGGATTTGACAGGGACCTCCTTGAGGAGCCATCTCAGCCCGAACCCATCCGCGCTTCGAGAAAGAGTGGGTGTTAGAGAGTGTGGGAGCTCGGATCTTGCGGCACGAAGTCTGCAGAGTCTGCAAAGTATACAAGCGAACGAACCCTCTGCCAAACCTGGCAACTGCATAACACAATTGGAACCTCGACTCAAGCTGCAACGCTGCGAACCCCCACATTCTAAAAACAGTGCAAATTTCTTGCACACGCCGCAAACCGCAACAAAGACACCGTGTCATGGTATGTTCTATTGACCTGTGGTGGTGTATCAGAGACTCTCGTTTCGTATTGAAGTTACAGAATGCAAGCAACAGCGAATGACACGATTACGGTTCTGCACAATGCATCGTCGTATAACTCACGACGCTAGTGTGACTGTCAGCGGATTGCGGCAGAGCGGCGAAGCCCCTTCCCAGCCTAGCGCCAGGCTGATCGACAACGTGAAAATGGGCTGACTGCACTGCCTCAGGTTTTGGATTTGCACTTGTAGCTGGTATTGGGCAAGCACTGCTGGCGAGCATTGAAACCCTAGCAGAGAGCATTGGCTTGCGAACATCGAACTCCTGTGCCGGTCTGCACTGAGGGCTCGGTATGTCATGACCCCGCGCCGATCTCTGTTGGACTCTTGAGCACATGCTTGCTTGGTCTGTCACTGGGGACAGGTCAAGTCTGCTAAGTTGCACACCAGGCACTGCTTATGACGGGGCCGGCCAGCTTGTCGCCTGCGAGAAGAGGCTTTTCTCATAGTTCTTTGCAGATCTGCTGGCACCCCACCCCTCTGTCACCCCACCCCTCTGTCACCCTGGCCCGTAAGACAAATCCAGGCTTTGATGTTTCGCTTACTTGGCTCTGGCAGGATTCCGCAATTGGGCTCAGGCTCATGACTTCAATTGACCATCATGCTGCATGTAATCTCAGTTGCTTTGACAGCTTCTCCTGTGAACGTGCTCTAACACACGCTGCTCCGATCTATGTCCCAGACCGATGCAAGCAAGGCAAAGTTTCGCACATAAACCAGGACAAGGCACCGATGATGAAGAAGGCTTGGTTCGTGAAGATGCAGATCCCCATCCTACGAACGCGTGGGCTTGCGTGGACTTCGGCAGGAAGGTGACAAGGAAATTGTCCGTTTGTTTCGCTTGTAGAGTTGGTTTAACTCGAGCCTGTCACAGGAAACTGTGCACTTCAACAAGACGAGGCTGGTTCACATCCCCACTGACTGCATGTCTTTTGTAAAGACTACATACAGACAGACAAACACCGCATGTTTCAATCTGGTAGATGTGGGACTTGCTTCGATTCTTGTACTAAGCTCTCAGAGGTTGTGCTGCGCGGTGTCGAGATTTGGGTTCCTGATTTCGGCAGTCCGGCGACAGAAGCCTCCTTCTAGGCTGCGGTCGGGCCGCCCGGTGAAGAGCACCACATCGCTGCGAAGAGGTGCCAATGCCCCGTCCAGGCACAACGCCTTGGCAACATCGGCAATCTTTCGGGCGGGGTTTGGGGGTTGGCTCGGCAAGAACACCCTGATTCCTGAAAACCTTGGTTGTTGGAGCTTGTACCACCTTGAGCCCCTTGCAGACCTGAGGAGATGTAGTAGCCAAGCAGGTTCCAGAGACTAGACGTTGCGCATGATGGAGGCTTGCCGGATATCATGGATGGACGTCGCACCCCCGGCATCCTTTCAGAAGCTTCAAAGGACTCTTCTGTGCCAGGCCACCAGGGCCAGCAGTAGAGGCCCGGCAACGGCCTCCCGGATCCTTGGATGCGCTACGCATGCGACAGTCGACAAATGCCGACGGGGCCAAAAGCACAGCCAGCGATCTCGCTCCTTCGACCTCTGAGAGCTCGGCAAAGCGAAAAGTAAAGGGTTGAAGCTTGCCACACCCAGCTTTCCGACCACGGAGCCGCCTCCCAGTCCCGGTCACGATCCGAAACTGCGATTCCACAAGCTCTCGCGTTCGAACGCCGTACCGGGTGACCAGGCTGGCGTGCTTCGGGCCAAGCCGGGAAAGGAAAGCGTCAAGACTCGAACTTCAGCTGCGGTTGGAGTACGACGTTTTATGGAAGGATGTGACTGTGTTGACCATCTTTTTCAGGTCAGAGGCTGTTGTCTGCCTTCCAGACAAAGGAGCTTCAAGCTGCCGGCGCCTCCGAACATCACTTGGGCTGCGAGCAGTGCCGCGTGTACCTATGCGATGCGAGCATGCGACGAATCTGGCTAGTGCTGTTGGAGATGCTGCATACTGCAAAGATCAAACCATGGCTTCTCTTGCCACATGCTGAAATATGAAGCGAAATGCCAAGCGGGGGTCACTCGGCAAGCTGACGGTCGGCGCACGCCCATCATGGCAATCGCCGGCTGGGTCGCTGAGCAGGATATTCCCGCTGCACGGCTGCAATCCTGAGGTAACATTATGTAACATTGGCAGCCTTTCGACCCCAGCTATGGCAGAACTCCTTTGAGCCAAAGGCGACATGTGTCAGCATCCACTGAGGGAATGTGGCAAGGTGCGAAGTGTTGGTCCGATTGAACTTTCCACGAGCACACGGCGAAGGAGCGCATAAGAAGTCTCACCTCGTGCTATGCAGCATCTTCCGC